AAAAAGAAGGAAAAGAGAAAGAAGAGAAATGGAGACACTAAGTGACACACTTCTCTGCATAAGATAAATGGTTTTAATTAGCTAAATTAATATTCCAGAAGGAGGCTCGGAGGCCTGCTCCCCTTTGCTCTCATTAACCTAGATCGCTGCAGGAAGCCCAGCCTTCCTGGTAGGCGGGAGGCTGTGGTTGGCGGCACATCGTTCATAAAAGTGTTACTGATATATCCTGGCCACATGACTTGCGGCAGATAATGACGATCCAGTTGAAGTCCTGATGACTGATTATTTTTCTGCAACGTAAAGTCACGAGATGTTTATGCCAATCAAAATAGCTTCCTAAAGAAAAAAAGCTACTGTCCACCGAGTGCCTATCATGTGCAAGGCTGCACTGAGGCACTTTACATACATTACTTCTAATCTGCCGGCAACCCTTGGCAAGGTAGGCTGATTCCAATTTTACGGAGGAGAGAATAATTTGAGAGAGGTTAAGTAATTTGCCTGCCAGAGAGCAAAGGCTTAACCCTATGTCTATGTGAATCTAAAGTTTCCAGCACCATAATACCTCGACTTCATTAAATTATTTATGACTACCTTATCATATCAAATGAACACAGAAATTGGGATAAATATGTAAGAATTAGAAGTAGGATTGAAACACTGGAGAATCTTTTTCAATGCCACCCTCTTTGTGGCTGTGACTCTTGCTGACTGTTGAAAAAGAAAGTTAAGAAAAAACAAATTAATAAGAAACAGAGGGATTTTGTTTGTTTCTTAAAGAATGTGAAGGGCAGAGGAAAATAAGCAGAATTAGGAGAAATTTAAATATAAACAAGCTTATATCCCAATAAAGATGTTAAGGTCAGGACTAAAAAATAAAATACAAATTAAATGAGATTTTTTAAAAAGCATATGAAGCCAGAAGACAATGAGATGAAAGATGAAATCCGCAAACTAAAATACTGGGTGGGGGAAAAGTAGGTTTACAGTTGTGAGTATGCAAAACAGTTTATTCTTGTATTGTTTTCCACAGAAAACCTATAAACCTACTTTTGCCCTACCCTGTGTTAGGGACAGAAATAGAATATTGGAGACAAGCTACTAGTTATAAGAAATATTAAGCATGGTCTGTTAACCATGATTGGAGAAAGCACTTTCTAACCTGGCATGGAGTTGTATGCCCCAGATACCTGGCAGTCAACCTTGGACCTGGGAGTCAACCTTGGAATGTGGTCCATTCCCATCAGAGAACTGTCTATTATCATGGAAAGATTAACAACCTTGTTGCTTAAACAATGGAGTCCCGCCAACCCTCGGCCCTTTGCAAACCCCCAGCTTGCATTGCCTGTAATCTGTAACCATTATACCCTTTCTTATTCCTTTTGCCTACTTCCCCATGTAATCTTTGTCCTACCCCATATAAGCATCTGGCTTATGGGGGTGACAGAGAAGTTTTTCATGGATGACCTGCTACTCTCCCACACAGCTGGCATTATCAGAATAAACACTCACACATGATTCAATCCTGTCTCTGCTTAATTGGTTGTCTGATTTCATCTGCATACACCTTAGTAAGAAAAAAGACTAAAACCCATTAAATGACAAGATGACACATAAAAGTAGATATGATTAAGAACTAAAATGGTTTTTTAAATCAAATAAATAATTTTTTTAAAGGAGAAAATGAAGAGAAAAAGAAAACCAAAAAGTTTGAAGGGGAAAGAAATAGCGGAGATTAAAGGGTTAAGGAAGACAGGCAGGAGCCAAGACCAAAGTGAGCAGCACCAAGGCCATTCAGACTCAGAGGGTCCTCAGGTGCCTTGGCCGGAAGGAGAGACAGTGACCACCTTGGACAGCGGCCACCACACACAGACTCATGTCCCTAGACTCTCCCTTTCCTCTGGGGCGCCAGGGCCAGCTACATAATGAGCAGTTCCCTAGAAAATCAGTGCATGTGGCTTTCTGCTGCTGACTGATGGTTGCAGAGCTCCTGGGGGCCCTGGAAGCTCTAGGCGCCCACTCTTCCCAGAGACAGAATTAAGCAGTGCTCAAGTGCTTGGGCTCAGGCATGAAGCTAAGTTGCAGTTCCCAGCCACTGCCTTGTAGTTGGCTATGTTGAAGTACTCTGGTACAGGTTCCTTTCAATTTTGAGAATTAATGCAATAACTCACAAAGCTCAGCATAAGTAGACTACATTTACAACAACTTAATTCATAGGGAACCCTTAAACACCTTGCCTTTCTGAGCTCTTCTGCCCCCCCCCCCTCAACCCACCCTCGCCCTGTAACTCTGGGACTCTACAGGACACTTTTTGGAAAAAATAAACTACAACATTGTTTTAGTTCAAACTTTTCACTTTTCAGAGGAAAAAGGTCTCTAGACAAATGTTAAAGACAAAATTATGAACTTGAAAATTCCTAAATACTGAAACACACACACACACACACACACACACACACACACACCCATCATTTACATTTAAAACAATATTAACTTTTAAAATAATTTAAGAAACTCAAAATTTTGACTTTTCATGTGACGTTTTCACTGTTGTATGGCTTGGACATGAAGGAAAATAAAAAGCACAGACTGAAATAAATTATTTCTCATTTTTTGTGGTTGTTGATCACACTGCTAACTGGGTAAGCCAGTCGTATATTATTGGGCAGATGAGGACTAGAAACTCAACATCCTGAATCAAAATCTTTGATTTTTTTTCTCCCTGTTACAACTCCCTCATGATGAACTTTTGTTTATGTTCTTTTCAAAGGGGACAAATCATTAACCAATAAACTTTACATTCCACTACCATCCAGCTAAAGGGCCTGCTTTTGCTAAGATTTGAGGTAAATAGATTATCTTTAACCAGAGGTCTATCTTCTTCTAAAACACAATGACTTCTTTAATAACTGACTTTTTAAAAAATTGATTTTTGAGAGAGGGAGAGAAACATTGATGTGAGGAACACTGATTGGGTGCTTTCTGAAAGTGTCCAAACCGGGGATCAAACCTGCAACCTGGGTATGTGCCCTGACCCGGAATCAAATCCAAAACTATTCAGTGTACCAGGTAACGCTCCAACCAATGGAGCCACACCGGCCAGGGTGATAACTGACTTCTTTACTGCATTTTACTTTAAAATTCTATAGACTCAAAACAAAACCTCTCTGTCTGAAGTACCAGCAGAGAGTCTATGAAGTGTAAGGAATATTTTGGAACTACCAGTAAAACCAGAAGTGACATATGTTGGTTCAATGCTCAATCTCTGGAGCCAAAACAATCATCATGCTAGTGTAGGCTCGACCACTCCCAGCTGAGAGACCTTGAGCAAATTATTTTTCTACTTTTGCACAAGTGTATAATGAGTACCCCTCTGAGCATTGTTGAAAGGATTGAGTACAATAAAGAAGATAACATTTGGTATAGAGCCTGACATATTTCAAGCACCTATGAAGTGGTAGGTTCTAGTACTTTTATTCTTGTTGCAATATGTAAAATTAGTAAAGGGGACAAAATTAGTTTGCAATTCCTTTGAAAAATTAGACATCTAGTTTTGTAGCGCCTTTATTATAGTTTTAGAAGAATTTACTGTGTGCTACTGCTATGTTTTGGTTTAAATGCCATCTATAATAATAAAAGGGTAATATGCTAATTAGACTGGACGTCCTTCCAGATGGAGCTGGGGCTGCAAGGGCTGAGACCCTTGCACAAATTTCGTGCATCAGGCCTCTAGTCTATTTATAAAGATTGGTATTTCAGCTGAAAAACTTTTAATGAATCTTTCAATCTAATCAATATTTCTGATATCTATCATTATTGTTCCTGGGTGTTCTATATGGTAGCTGTCAGCCTTTTTAAGAGAGTATCAAAAGATCAGTCATTTTTTGTCTAGTAAAATCAACCGAGAAAGCCATGTGGCTGTGACTGCCAAAACGCTTTTTAAAAAGCTTGGTTCTGACATATGATTTTGAAATGCTTATGTAAAAATATTCAACAAACTATTCAAAAATTGATCATCACTAGTCTCTTATGCTCACACAACATTGATTTGCTTGAAATTAACTATGCTTTTAAAACATTTCTAAGAGATTTTGGTCTTAGAGTTTCAGAAGCACATAACAGAGAAATGGGTGAAAGATTCATGGGGCAGTATTTTTTTTTCCCCAAAGCAGATAAAGATTTTGGTGTTTTGTTATTTCTTATTTCAAACAATGATCTATATAACATTAAAAGCCAGGATACCCAATAGCATTTCGGAATGCATTAATTCAGAAAAATTTTACCAGTTAAAATGTCTTTAAAAATCGAACTGACTTCTGAAGCCTTCTGAGAAACTGTACACTCAGGAAACAGTAATGCCATCAGGGAAAGGATGAAGACTCCAGAGGCCGTAAGAGATGAGGGGTGGTCTGTTGCCAATATTTGAAAAACACTTACAGTTCACTTAATTAGCCTAATTACATGGTGCTCTTTCAGCTTATTATTAATGCCCTCTGACAGAGATATGTTACCCTGGCCTTGAACGCATGCTGGCCACAGTGTGTCGAGTTGAACTTGGATAACATCCAGGAGCTTCCATCAGTCCCATACATTTTGGAACAGAGCATCCGTGATATGCATCAAGTGCATGTCAGTTAGAAAACGTGATATTCTTAAACATTCAAGTTTTTGGCTTGGTGCATTTAGCTAATTAATGTGTTTCTATGATCATTGGGAGACTCAAAGTGACATAATAGAAAATTCCCATTCCATACCATTCAAATGATAATTAAGGCAGCCATGAATTAATCCCCAAACCCAGAACCATTCACTCATCCTTCAGCTATTTAAGGACTGCTCAAAATCAGCTTGAAGCAGTTAGCATGTGATAAAGCATTTTCACCAAAAAACACCCTAATTTTATTACCCTGTGAAGCAATCCTCATCTACATTCAACATGTCAGTACCTTTTCATACTGATGTTTGAGAGTTAATGCAACAATTTCATGGAAAGAGAAATAATATCTGGAACACAGGTAGTTTTTTTATTTGTAAAACACTGCAGGAATAACTGTCTTTAAAGAAAATTTCAGTATCAATAAAATACGAAGAGCTGTTTTCATTACAAAAATTCAACTTGTATGCATTCTTTCAAGTTTTTCTACTTAGGTTATAACCACAATAAAATTCTTAGTGAGTTCAAGTTCTTTACAAAACGTTCTATCCCATGAGAGCATCATAAAGGTCAGTTTGAAGCCTGAGGTTCAAAGTTGAATTGATGGAAAAGTACATTTTCTCCTTTTTCATTTAAATAAATACATAAAGCCAGGGTCCTGAAAACACTGTTATAATAAGTACACATGAATATTTCTTTGAAATTTGGTAATGAATTTGTGCATGATGCTTTTTTGGGGGGGAGAGAATAGTGATGGAAATTTTCTGTCAAATAATTGTTCCTTTACTTTAAAACCAGTTGTTCATACTGGTTAAAATATTACACGGACCTACCCTCAAATAAACGTGGATGAGTTGGACTTGACAACATATTTAAGTAATTTTACACTTGTATGGATGGATTCTCTTCCACATAAATGATTTTAAAAGCCTGTAAGATGAATATATACAGTTGTTTTCTTTTGTAAATAGAATAAACACAGGCCTCTATCTTAAAATAAGTCAGTCTGAATTAACCTGTATGAAGCTACAGCTAAAGCCAATGTTAACAAGCATTCCTTATTAACAGACCAGTAGAGTAACTGTCCCTGGGAAGAGGTACAATAACGTGACTTTATAAAAGTTCACAGTTGTGACTATCACAAAGAGAAACAATCAAGGATGTAGGAATTGTGTATCCAGGTGAAGTCTGGGCAGACCCAAAGAACCTACTGGGCTAATAAACAGAGTAATGCATTAGACAGTAGATTAATAATTTTAAACTTAAGAAACTAACTTGTACTAAGAAGAAGCCTAGATGGAATTTAAGGCAACATTTATATGTTTTAAAAAAAATCAGTTTTAAAGACAATTTTTCTTTTGGTGGCAAAGATGAATGATAGCTTTCAGATTCTATTCTCTAATATAAAGACTCATAATAAATTACTTTTTCTAAAGAGAATATTAACCATTTATGTACCATAAACTTGTTCACATCACACCAGTTTTAAGAACTGCTTCAAAAGAAATAGCACTAATTGAATAATCAATGCTTTTTTTTTTAAATTGGTAATTCATTACTGAACCAACCTAATCCTACTCAGTTTGTATACTGGGACATACATATCACACAATACTGTATAGTTCCAGGCTTTGAAAGGAAAAAAGCATAAAATAGAAAATTAACATGTTTGATTATATAATACTTCCTTCTAGCAAATAAAATTTTGTAAATGACTGAAGAGTTTTAGCCAAAGAAATATGACTATTCCTCTCAGAGAATTGTATCTGTTTGAATATGAATATAATGTCTTACAGTCAATCTCCAACTTGTTAGGTAACTACATGTGAATACACTCCTTCATTGTTACCCTACTATTAAATATTGATCCTTTATTATATAGTGTCTACCTTACTATAGCCACATTTAGATATATAAATATATACTTGAACATTTCTTCTCATTACTCTTTTTTAAACTCAACAGGCATGACTAAGTGTGTCCACATAAAATAAAGTGATTTCTAACTTGGTGGGAGCACTGGGGAGAACCACTAAGCTGTAGAGGAATTTGGTATAAACACTTATGATGTGGACAGGAGACATCTACTTGTTGAGATTCAATTATGATTTTTGAACCTTTCCATGATAACAAATATTGTCATTTGCAGCTCCCTTATAGGGATACTTATAATCCTCACACTGTAAAAGTATGTTTTAGGAATTTCTTCTCAATAGTGCTGAAAAATCAAAATTTTTTTTATGATGCTCAATTTGACTGTAGAATTTACAATCCCCCCCTTTTTTCATTATTATTTTTTAAGTTCTGGTGCAATCCAACAAATACAAAGCTTTCAGTATGATTCTTTGTTGAAACTTATTGGCCAAATTGTGAGCATGGGTAATGGATAATCAGAATATAAATATATTATATACTTTTTAGCATATAAAGCCATCCAGCAACTTAACTGTATTCTTCTCCATATCCATGGGTTATAATATGAAGGGATCTAAATATATCCAAGGGTGAGGGGTGGGAGAGGGCCAATGTGTTAAAGCCAATTGTGTATCATACATAAAAGTGCACGTTAACTACTTGAAAAAATTCACATTTATTTACTGTCAAACCGTGTTAAACTTTACACTGGATATTAGTGATGGGCTCATTATTAACAGGTTTACACAAAGGGATGAAAAGAAAAGCAGAATTTGGCTGAAACAATTTACATTTCATTAGAACTTTATCATAAAATAAATTAATTACTAAATATAGGCAGAAGGAATATGGAAGAGTAATATTTATGTTTTATTTTATTTTAAAAAAGAAGAGGCACCTTTTGTTCACTAGAAAGTTTGTGAGAAGTGCCCAGTGCCCTCTCTGCCCTCTGCTCAAGAATAAACGGAGGGGCGACACGCAATCTTTTCTAGATTTCACCACCGTTGTGCAAGGCATGGCGTAACTGGCTTCAAAGACTTTTCTCCCCATAGAACACGTTCTTTTGGCAATAAGGAATTTAAATGTAAGGATAAAACTAACATGTCAAAGCAGAACACTTGTATACAGTGGAAACTAAGTGACAATGGGCAGAACCATGACAAAGTGTAAGAAAAAACATTTTATAACATGTGCAACCAAGAGCTTTTCACAATAGTTTCTTCGAACTCTTTAAAATTATTTTAATGACAATTCTATTTCAGTTGGACACAAAGGTATTTATTTTACCCTAGCAATAGAACAAAATATAATTTCTTTAGCCATTTTTTTTTTCATGAGAATAGTTCATTGTACAGTTGAGGAAACATACGAAATAAGGCCTGTGGCTTGATTGCTAGTGGTTAAACATGGTTTCAATCTTTGCCTTAATGGAAAAGATTTGCAGTGAACTGCAAACTGCTGCAGAATATCTCTCCTGCTTTTCCAAGTCTTGTCAGGAACAGTAAGGTACAGTAAATTTGTCCCACAGGATTTTAAAGCCTACGTCTTGTATATAATACAATGCAGGCCTACAAAAAAATGGTGCAGCCATATTTACAAATTTAGTTCGCAAACTGCTGCGGTAAAATGGCTGGAAAGTTGCGTTTTGCTCGCTTCACAATTTCTCTAAACAGCAGCAGAATCTTAAAATACCTGGTTGGCATCTCTTTTCTTTGTAACAAATAATTCACTTTAGTATACTCTGTGTATATACAAAGTTTTTTTTGTATGTTTTATAAAAATTCACAGAACGGCAAGGTTCAGTCATCTTTTTTTTTTACACGGGAGGAACCACAGGTCATCAGGGCTGTCTGCGCGGCCAAGTCTGCGTGGGGCCCACGGGCCTCGCTCTGTGAATACTCGCAGGTGGCCCTCGGACTTCCCCGGCTGCGCTATTAAAGGCTGGTCACCAGCTGCATCTGCCCTTCTCTCACGTCCCCTTCGGGGATGCAGCCTTCCTTGTTAATGGGGATGATGTACCCGTCGCTGTTGCCCCTGCTGATCTGGTAGCACGTCTGGAGCTGGTGGCCAGCCCCCAGGTTGGGCATGCTCTTGTAGTAAATGTCCTCGTTCTCGCTCCTCCGGGAGGGAGACAGGTCTTCCTCCATGTCCGGGCTGCTCTCCGGGTAGGGAGAGTCTCTGAGGTTGGGCATGCTCGTGTAAAGAGAGTCCCTGTTGGGCGACTGCAGGTGGTCCTCGGCCTCAGAGGTCAGCTGGGAGACGTAGCTGTCCGTGCCCTCGGGCTTCGCTTTCTTCTGCGGCTGGTACAGAAGGGAGTGAGTCCGCTGAGGGATGAGCGGGGCCTCCAGCTCTCGGTGGTGCAGCTCCAGTCCTGGGTGGTCACCATGCATGAGAGAGGACGCGTCGGCCACGATGGCATCATCCTCGCTGCTGCTCCCGCCAATCACAGGTTTGACCGGGAGCGTGAGCTCCAGGTTGTGAGTCTTGCTGCTGCCCCGTAGGTTGTTGTGCACTAGCTCTGAAATGATCATTTTCTCAAAAGCGGTATCATTCAGACTTAGTCCACAGTCCACGACCTGCACGCCGTCGGTGTAGTCCCCCTTGCGCAGTGAGTAGCTGTTGTTGAAATTACCATTTAGCGGTAGAGTATCCATGGCACTTGTATCCCTGGCATTGTTCAGTGAATGTCCTGAAACAGACAACGGGGTTTCCATTATTGCTGCTGATCCTTCCTCAAAAAATCATTAACTCTTTGGCACAAAACGTTTTAATGTCGTTCAGGACAAAGTTGTATTTGAAAGCGGACACTTGGAAAGTGCCAGGCTTTCCCGCATTCCCAACTGTAAACAGTTGCACCCCCTTAGATATCTAATACGAAAACGTGTGAAAGAATAATTCTGTTTTCCAGGGAAGGAAGATGGCATACTGAGTATTACTTGATCAATTTCGGGGAGACAGTAGTTAATCGATTTTGGGTCAAATCTCTGACACAAAAAAAGACTTCACTCCATGCCCTTGCATAGTTAATGCAAAGCAATTCATTATTGACAATTGCATTTTAAAGTACGAGACTATGATTTATAAAAATAAAATTAACATAATTTGTCCTAAACAACACTAAATTAAAAAGGAATAAGTCACATACGAAAACCAAAGGCAAATGTACAACACAAACCCACATAAGTGGCAAGCAACTTTTTTTAAACAACATCTAACATTTCCTTTTTTTTCTGGAGATGAAATTTAAAAAAAAAAGAATGAAAAATATGGACAGATACAAAGAATTCATGTTAAACAAAGACAGCCATCTCTCATACGGACTGGGCCAGGGGCCCACAAGCACCATCCAACAACATGACAGACAGCAGGTGGAATGACTCACTTTGGACAACTCACATCATGTCTGTCTGCTCAGGCTATCTGGCCTAAGAGTAGCTGATATATAAAAGAAAGTAAAATGATTTATTGTAACATGATGAAGAATTTCTAAGCTTCTCAGCAACTTAGTCAGAGCAAGGGTTCAACAAATTAGGTTACCAGCAATAGCAGCCTTTCCCGTTTTGGTTTAATAGTTCTTATTGTTTTGATATGTACTTTGGAAACGAGTATTCTAATAGCCATGGCCCCAGGCTCCTAATGGTCAAGGTGTTTGCCTGCAGCCCTGCAGTCTGCATCAGTCACAGTGACAGCACCAAATGAACCCGCAGTCTACTGCACGAGACTGGCCCACAGACACTGTGGGCATGGAGGTTAAATGCAGAAATGTTAGAGATTTCTTAAGTATGGGTCACAGAAATTAAACCAAGAATAAATATTCACTATGGAATGGGAAAAGGGTGTTAGCCTTGGCTAATATATTGTTTATCTCTAAAGGAATGAAAGATTGGATAAGTCTGCTGAAGATATGAAAAGAGGTTTAGGAAGAAAAAAAATACGGTAACATGCTCTCTTTGAATCAGAGTTGTATTTTTCTACAGACACATAAACATGTAAACTAGGACATCACAGTGCTTTTCAGGCAAATGGGAAAAAAAATAGAGAAAATTAAATGATCTGCACCATGGGAAGTTGGGTTATTCATTCTCAAAATCCTAGAGAAAAAATAAAATCACTTGTCTACAGATAGGTCTGGAAAAAAAAAAAGAATGAAATGATGGTTATTGAAATGAAACTGACCACTGTGAGGCTGCTGCATTGTATGCAAGGCTTGGAGGAGTTTAGGAAAAAAATTTAATTCTTGGAAAAAATAGGCACTTTCCCTTTTTAGTGCTCACTCCACTCTTAAAGCTGCAGATTATCCTAGAAAACTCAATGTCATGACCAATAAATATATGATAATTGTTTGATAAATTATCATTAGTAGAAAATGAGAAAATGGGGTGATTATATTTGTTGGTCACTCATGTTATTTTTTTAAAAAAATCTGATCCAACTTCTACATTTGAGAAACTGACAGGCCAATTAATATCATGCTCCACATATAACAAAATAAAGCTCTGAGAGCTATTTGTAAGGCTTCCTTTAGCTTGGTTGACACAATTCTCTAGTTTTGTAAGTTCTTATGTGCACCACAGTCTTTATAAGATCCACCACTGGAAAACTGCTGGAGCTTTAAGTTACATGATGGATCACTTGCCAGCATTTGTTTCCTCTGTAGAGGTTGGATCTTGTCTTTTTTTTTTCTTTTCCTTTTTATTATTGCTTAATAAATATAAACATATATACTGGGTAAAACAGGAGGTGTTTTCTATGATATACTGCAGATTTAAGCACATCTTTGACTGGTTTGGAAGAGGCAAATTTTCTGCCCAAGTTCAGGTAATTCACTTGAAGACTTTCCACAGCCTGTAGCAAGATGACTGTGGGAATGCAGAAATGATAAGTCAATTATTCAGCATTCGGGTTGACAGTACCTCGGGCTTTAAAGAGCAAATTATTTCAGCATTGCGTATACTTAAGTATGGACAGCGTTTGCTACGGACCTCTATTGTTGAGAAAGGGCAGTACAGACAGACGTACTGTTTGAATTTGGTAACGTTTTAGTTGCAAATTGTGAACCACTTGCCCGCTGAGTCTACTTCATGACTGCTAGTTATGTTTTAATTGTGCCGGTTAAAAATCATGCTGAAAAAATTTACATTTGATAGGCAAAGTTAAGTTTTACTCCCATACTTGTCTCTCTGTAGGTTGCTAGAGGAAAGCATAAGGAAAGTGAGAAAAACAAGAGAATGAAAAGAAAAGCTGCAGTTACGTTAAAATAGAATTTCAAGGAAAAAAAAACAGAAACAAAGTTCTTTGTTAAATTTAGTGGTAAATATCAATCACAAATAAAGACTATATGCTAGCAGCAGTAACTTTTACCAAAATCTTGAAAATTTCTGTTAAATATATATGCTTTTTAAAAAATAAGCTATTAGAAAACACAGTAATACAGGATGGGTTAGTGACAATCGTTCCCCCTCCCCCAATTAAAAAACAAACAAACACAACTATAGGTATAAACTGACTGATATTAACTTTATTTTCAAAGCTATTTTAAGAAAAAAGAAAAACCACCATAAAGCTGCACTATACTATAGTGTGGTTACATTGATAATGCTGGATGCCGTTTTCTATAGCTAGGCATCCAATGATCTTTATTAGCTAATCCATTCCAAAAGCAAATTCTGTCGGCAAGCTTTAGAGTCAACTGAACAGAATATTACATAGAACGGATACCTCTAAGTGATATAAATCTTGAAGATGGGCTCGCGGACCATGTGATGTCAGTCCTGTAATAATATATTAAGATTTATGCCACCTGTGTCAAAAACATGGATAATTATTGGTAAATACTGTCATGACTGAATGTTTACTATAATATAGTGCAGTTTTAGAAGCCTGGCATGCTCAATACCATTCTCTTTCAATTGAGAGACTATGGATGTAATAATAAATATATGGCAACATGAATATTCTAGAGAAAGGGCAAAGACCAGAGCTCTGTTTAGCAGCAAAGAAAGGTAGTTTTATTCATAAGTATAAGCACACCTGGTGAGTTAAATACAGGAGCTGAAGGGGCATTACATACAACTGTTTCAGCGAGCAATGTGTTATAGGGGTTGTTAGTGCCGTGGGGTCGAAGAAGAGGATTTGTTAGTAGGTAATTGCCAGTCATTCCTAAAGTAAAAAAGGGCAAAGAAAAGAAAAGAAAAGGAAGGAAAGAAGAGACATCAGTTCTCTTATTTTAGCGTTACAGTTGCAGTACAGTACTTTTCGTATTCATCAAGGGTAGTGAACAAGTTGGCAACGAAAAATCTGCTGAAATTTTCTGACTGTATTTGAACTACTAATTTGAAGGAGAAAGGGTAGAGGGAAGTTAAATTTCAGTAATTCACAGGTGCTTTCTAAGTCCCCCAAGTAAACACCTGCTGAGGATGACATTTACTAATTTATACAAAAAATCACTGTTAAACAAAAATGGCAATTAAATGCACAGAGATCAACATTATGTTTCAAGATGTTACTGCTTAATATTAAAAACCTAACCACTGAGGCCCAGAAGAGGGAATCTCAAACTTTCAGAATTTACAGGTGTGGGATTATCCCTCATGAAAACATCTGTGTTAATACCAACTTCGATACAAGCAGGAGGAAAAACAACTTCAAACAGATAAAAAGTATGACACATTGCACAAAGCTTCTCTTAGTAAATGCAAGAGCACACATGCTGAAGAAGAAAAGGCTGTGTATAATGAATTATTGGACCATTCATAAATTGTACATAACAAGAATTGTATTTGCCAGGTTTCAAAAAGTGAATCATTGAATAATGCATTTCCTTTTTGATAGTTATCTTAACAAAATTAGGTAGCATATCAGAGCCATGGAATAAACACATTTCACTTACTCTGATTTACAAATTACCAACCTTTCAATACTTATCAAACATGTTTTGCATAGCTAATGTAATTTTGACTAAAAATATTTTAAAATTCAACTTGGTTTTGATGTCATACATACTCCTTTTTTCATTTTAAACCAACTCATCAAAACAATGGCAACATTAAGAAATGTCATTGTGATAAAATATAACTGCTGTATTACCAATCAGTACAACAAAACTAAAATCACCTGGATAAATTACCTTTCCACCGACATATATAACAACATGATTTTTTTCATACCAAGTTAAAATTTACTAAACTTGCATTCAGAACTATGTGTACATGCGTTTGTGTCCTTATCTTGCTAAAATATTTTATTTGCCAGCTTATTTAAGAATTATATTGATAATGATAATTTTAAAGCTGCAATTGTAGTACTTCAAGGAGAAAAATATTAATTTGTAAATTCTCATGTATTTTAGCTTTTTGTTCATGAAGATTTACTATAAATGTTTTTGACACTTTTTACTTTCTGAAAGAAATGTAAAATAAAAACTTTTGCAAATAAGAATCTTCACTACAAAACTGGTACTGTTTAATGTGAATAGTGGTTATTCTAATTGTGTTGATGTTTTAAGAAGAAAAGTTTGGTAAATGTCTCAGTTAAAAGGATAAATTTCTACTCACAAGAAAAACATATGAACTTGTGGCAAAGTATATTTTCAGTAATTACTTTTTCTAGCCTTACTCTTAATGCGGAGTTTAAAATTATACTGTTTGCATTACATTACTGAATAAAAAGAATTTATATGTACTTGAATAAAGGATAAAAACTGACTCAAAAGATTTAGGAGCTTGTGATATAAACACATTTGAAAAAAAATTCCCCATTTTCTCTAGGATTATTGTAAATTGGCAAAAGGTACAAAATTTATATTGTAAACTCAAATTTTCCTAGTAACTGACCTTGATTAAGTGTTGAAGTGCTATTGATGTCACCTGAGATAAAAGAAGATTCAGATTGTTTTCTCACAGTGTCATTCCACATCCTTCTTATACGACTCTATCAACATAAAATAGCAAGACATGTTATGTTAGTTTCCCCAAATTTACCTTATTAAAGACACACAAAAGATTTAACCTATCCATCTGTGTAGGATTATCTGTGGGGCTTTTAAAAAAGAAAACGTGTGTGGATTCTAGTCTAAAACTAAGGAAGTCTATACTGCTCTGTTGCTTTTCTACTAAGGGGAATTTAATCTTCTACTCTTTAAAAGTTTTCCTTTATTGCTTTTTTTTTAACGTAGAGATGGCTGATTATTCAACAAATGTTTACTGAGTACCCACAAAGAGCACCGTGCTGTATACAAAGCTTAGGCTATGAAATGATTCTGATAGACTTTTTAAAGAAGTATACCTCTCAAAAAAAGGATGTTCACACCTAAAGAAACACCTTCAAGAAATACTTAAGAAGACATTAAAACCAAAATACTAAAAAAGCAAGTATTTGCTATGTAGACATCATTAGAATAAGGAGACAATTAGTGCATTTGAACAGAGCCCGTCTCGGTAGGCTTTCTATAAAGAAGGCTGATCGAAGACGCTGTCAGAGTCCCTGTTACCTGTGTGCCGGAGGAATACCGAGCGCTGGTCCTGGTGGTGGAAGCCTTCACTGAGCTGTGGGGACTCTCCGTTGGGAGGCCGCTGCAGCAATAGGAGTGTCTGAAGCACTTGCCATATTCTTTTCGTACCTGCATTGAACAACCAGGAGACCATGGGGTTAATACTTGCTTCTCCCTTTCCCTAATCAAATAAACAATGGAGACGACCAAGAAATTCCACAAACATACTGCCACGCAGAAAATAAACTGAACTTACAAAAATCAAGTTTAATTGAAACTGTTGTAATCAGAAAAAATATCTCTGTCCACTAGACTGGCTATAAAATCTCTTCAATGTGATTGAAGGTAGTAATGCTTTATAACCTATTATGTAAATGTTATTAATACAATAGCAATATTTTAAAAAGCCTTATTTCCTCTGTATACTTAGGAGCCCCAATTTTATATTTCATGCTAAGAAAAGAGGACAAAATATTTTCTTGCTTAATTACATTTAACCACGCCTAATTCAGTCATTTAAGTTTTAGACGCTTCATGTCCTCCTTAGGTAGGTCAATGTACATAAACCTCTTTTATTGGATTGCGTAGTTTTGTGGGTAACCTCTTTATAATGACAAGGCTATTTTGGCACAAGAATAAAGGAAAAAAAGCACTTTGATAACATGCCATTAATTATGATGGAATGTTTTCTTCATTTCCTGATGTGTTTTAACACTGAGTAAAAAGAGTCAAAGATGCCTATGCACTTCATTAGCACACAAGGGAACTATTTATGCAATTTCTATTCTCATTAATGAGTTACCGTGTAATTTCCCTCCCCCCTTCTCCGAAAAGTTTTTAGTTCTAAAAGAAAGTTTAAAGTAAACTTTAAAAAGTGAAGTCCCAACACTCGCTAAATGATGGGGCCCCTGGAGAGGTGGGACGAACTTGGGAGGAGTAGGAGAGAGTCCTGGATTCTATGCAACGATACTGGCACATAAACATGTCTTGTTGTGGCCAACAGCCAGACTTCAAAATCATAAAACAGACAGGGAGATATTGCGTAAGAAACTCTTTCTTCGAGTAGATTACAAAACACACTCAAAGGCTTTCTCCCTCCTCACAGTTGTATGCTCTGTATCTGCCAGCAAAGACCATGATTTTGACACTTATTCCTTGCAAAACTAGATAATTAAAGTCACTAGATGACCTTTTAAATCTAAGTGCACTTGCATTTTCCTCCTCTTCGCTTTATTTAATTGTACCTATTAGAACAAATAACAATGGGATTGAACTTTCAAAGCACTTTCTTTGCCTAAATATGCTCACTGAAGTAGTAAACCAGGATTTAAACTAAATCACTTTGTATCATATTCTTCACAAGTCATCCTGGCAGCACCAAGAGGATGTGTCTAAGACTAAGTAGGATATATTCAAAAGAGCTACAGGATGCTTTTAAATGTAATTGTAGTTAAAAAGCATAGCAAAATCTTTGTTCAATTAATACACATAACTCTATGAGAAAATAATGGCTAAGTTTCGGTTTTATCTCAAAATAATTTGGCAGACTACAAATGTGCCTGTATGCATGTATACAAAATGCTCATTTATAAACTAAGAAATACATAAAAACCAAAAGTAATTACAAAGGTTATACCTGAATCATATTTAGAAAGTTAAGATTCAATGTTATTAAATAACACATCATACCTTATAAAAAAATGTCTGGACATTTAATGGCTATTAACTACTCTGCAATGCTGCATAACCAAGACAATGGCAATGAAAGTGGTACTTTATCCAAATAACACCTCCGGTGTTGGTGTTGCCTAATGCCTATATTGCTGTGAATGTACATTACCTGTCAGGACTGCACATTCCACTGTTATTATCTCAAAATTACAGCTTATTCAAAACTGATGGAGGTAACAACACTATCATCTTGTCAGGATTGAAAACATAATAGTTTTCACTTTCACAATTCTATTTCTCTGTTCAATTTAAGTGACCAACTAGTAATAACAGAATAAAAAGACTGCACTGGATATGCAGGCAGGGAAAAGATGATACCGGAAATTTTAAACTTAAATGGTGCTAAACTATTCTCTTGGGTTTGCAGCAGTATTTCATTTTCAAACAAACATTAATTTTTGAATCATTTTTGCTTACTCCACTTAATATAAAGTCAGCACTTAATAATAAAATGTGAGATGTAAAATTATTGGATTTTAGATCTATTAAAATTACTCAAAAGGCAACATTAATATTAAATTTTTGTATGGCTAGAGCTTTTAAATTAAGGGCATGTATCCTTATACTCAACTTCATTTTGGACCACTGTATTCTCTTTATTGAGCAAAGAACAAGATTATTTAACCTTTTCTTTATCTTGTATACCCTTTGCACAAAGCATTTTTATAGACCCCAGTAGCAAAGAAGACATCTTAACATAAATATATAGTTTATAACAGCCCCAAATTGAGATCCAAAAATGATTGCTATTGAATTCTTTTATACGTGAAGCCCGAATTTCCAGACATCCATTACAATTACTTTATGATTAAAAATATAACGCGATTTAATAATATGCCAGTTGTAACTTCATATCTTCTCCATTATATCTGTTATTTCCACTACAAGAACAAGCAAGCAGAACCCCGCGGCACAGTCACTTACTTTCTTCTGAAGAGCACAGTGAAAGATGAAAATGAACACTCCCTGGAAAGCATTAAAGATGGTGAAGAGATATGCCATCACTATAGTCTCCTCATTAATAAAAAGCAACCCAAATGACCAGGTTAGGCCAAGAAGACACAGAAGAGCGAAAGCGCCAAGCACCCAAGACCTGAAAAAATAAAGTGAATTTCATTCACAGGTTCAGTGAGAGAACAACACACATCACACTTAAATATGAACATATCAGTAGTAGCAGTTGACTTTCTCTATGTTCACATTCAAATTCAACAGCATTTTGGCTTTAACCTTTCATTGATTAAAGAAGGAATAGTAGCATTTAGTACTGCAGCCTCCAGTGAAAACAGCAACAGCAGGTATGACCTTTTTTTTTTTTTTTTACTCCAGAATAAACAAGGTATCAAAACTATATTAAAATTCAACGTGTAAAACATCCCCCAGGACTTTATTGGCTTTTATGTGCATTTTGGTATAAGAAATTAGGAGTCCTTAATGAGTCAACTCCTATCTTTTTATTCCTGTGGTGTACCCACAACACTGAGTAATGTGACACATACAGAAAGGTTAAATGGCAGATAATCAGCTCCTAAACTTCAGATTCTGATAAACTAATCTTAGGTGAACCCTAAGGTTTTTATAACTAAAGCATGAAGAAGCCTAGCTGAAATGGGACAAAAAACATGAGAACAACTTGAAAATAAAATAATTTTGGAGAGATTTCATCATGAATAGCTTAAGGAGAAAAGAACTGTAGAAAATAGGACGGAATGAGAAGGATTTAAAGTCGGTGCATTCCATGTCTAACTAATGATCTTACTTGATAAATGGCTTATTATCTTCATAGCTAGAAAGCATTATAAGCAGAAAAGAGAAACAAAATTATTAGACAGAATTAAAATAGAAAGTAATAAGAAAGCATTTATATATTTTATAAATTAGTCAAAATTAAGAAAGTCAAAATGCAGAGGCAAGCAATTAAAAAATAAAGGCATATTATAGTTTTAAAATACTATAGCAAATTAGACATACAAAAATAATTATAAGAATTAAGGGCAATTCATGATATTGACAGCTTTGTAAAAAATATAAATCATGCCATAAATTTGTTAATGTAGGGTTCTACCTTACCCAGGTAAGTCCGTATTATAGTAGCCATCACAAACACGGTAATTACTGGTGTAGATGAGAAGACAGAAAGAGGAAAAGGAAGAAAAGAGAGAGATGCTAAAGATTAGCTCTCTCTCTTACCATGCAACATGCAATGAAGCTGGCACTAACCTATCTAAATCTTCTAATTTTTAAAAAACTTCCCTTACTATAGATCTGCCATTTTTTACATTCAAAATATTTTTTTGCAATCCCATTATAACCAACTTGGATAATACTTCATCAAAATTTAAATTAAGGCTCTTATTTAAAAAATAACTGAAAATGCTTCCATAAGATGACTTAGGAGTCAACAACTATCAATTTTTTGTTAATTGGATAGCATTTTTTCCATAGATAAGCTACTGCAGTTTTTATTCAACATTGAAATAAAACATTCATTCAATTATCATAAAAACAACAGATAATCTCCACGTTAACAATAGTAATAGAATGTATTCTCTTAGGAAAGCAAGATTAGAAGTAGAAAACTGCTCAGGATCCTTAAATCAAAAAAAGTCATTTAACAAAACAAACTGAATATAATCTTATCAGCCATGCAAGGAGGAACATCATTTTGAACTGCATTTTAAATTCAAATGAAACTGCTACCGTGATATGGAATTTCCACAAAGCTACTGAAACAATTTCTTGGCTCTACATCAAGACAGAAATTATTATCTAATTTTTGACCAATGTCCGTGACGTGGTCACACTGAGACTCACCCTTGCACAGTAAAACCTCATTCTGAATAATTTCTAGTTGAGAGAAGGTACCATGGATTCCCTGTGGAGAATATCTTGCACTTAGTTTGTCAAGCACTAAGCTTAAAATACAAACTACTTACTTAATGTTCTCCAACCTGCTAGAATCGGGTTTCAAAGTGTTTGAGTGCTTCACCATTTTGCACAATGTGATCACCAGGAATATAATATTTAGCTGTCATAACGAAACAAAAAAAAAAAGAATTAGACCACTACAACCAAAGAATAAACAACACATTTTTGCAAATTTATTTAATGAGTTAATGCAGTTAAATACCAATGACATGAGTATATAGTAGACAATGATTCAACTTTAGTTTACATATGCAATGATCCAGTTAAGTCTAAATAATAAAATACTCGAGCTATGTTTGATCGATTTTTTAATAGATCATTTGACATGAAATTGCAGCCTCATTAAATCAGTATCATGTGGTGATGATTAAATAAATTAGATACCTAAATTAGTTTCTTTAGCTAGAGGTACTCCAGGGCCTAAAAGCCATCTAACAGAAACATTAAAGTAAATTCCTTAGGAAAGGCATTTATAGCATGTAGCTTATAATGGAACAATTGATGGATTTGAGACCCTAAGACTTAGTTGAGAGTCTAGCTTTTGATTTTGGTTGATTAAATGAGGGTAATAACATTTGTACAATCTACTTGTAAGGTAATTATGAGGGTCAAATGAAATAAAATATATGAAACAGCTATATAAAATAAGATAAACATATATACATGTATATATATATTTTTAAATCTATTTTATTGATTTTTTACAGAGAGGAAGGGAGAGGGATAGAGAGTTAGAAACATTGATGGGAGAGAAACACTGATCAGCTGCCTCCTGCACACCTCCTACTGGGGATGTGCCCGCAACCAAAGTACATGCCCTTGACCGGAATCAAACCTGGGACCTTTCAGTCCGCAGGCCGACGCTCTATCCACTGAGCCAAATCAGTTAGGGCTATACATGTATATTTTGCTATTTGTCTATTAAAAGTCATCAGTTCTTTTTTACTAGTCTTTATATTGTATGAAAATAGGTAATTTCTGAAAAAGGCTCTTTTGTGTCCCTCTAAAACATTCAGCCGGGGCAAAAAATTGACATGCAAACAAAAGCAAACTGGGGAAGATGAAACCTGACAGGGAAGGAAGGTTTGGGAGATAAACACAAGTGAATTCAGAAGAAAGGAGTTGGGTTTTGACTGAAGAGAGGTAGTTTGCATTTACTTCTACAGTCACCTGGCAGAATGCTGGACAGAGGGAAGGCAGTTCCATTTTTATATTGTAAAAATAGAACTTTACTAGATTGGTCCTGGATTTATTATTATTTTTTAAATATATTTTTATTGATTTCAGAGATGAAGGGAGAGGGGGAGAGAGATAGAAACATCAATGATGAAAGAGAATCATTGATTGGCTGCCTCCTGCACACCCCCCACTGAGGATCGAGCCCACAACCGGGGCATGTGCCTTTGACCGGAATTGAACCTGGGACCCTTCAGTCCTCAGGCTGATGCTCTAACCACTGAGAAAAACCAGTCATGGATGGTCCTGGATTTTTTGACATTTACTTTGGATCATTCTTTTAAAAAAGGCAAATCAATTTTTTTGTGAGCTGTATATGACTTAAAGACAGTACAAGCCCAAATGGTATATTCAGGAAAAGGCTCACTGAATGTAGGATGAAAGCAATTTCTTGGTGGTAGGTAATCGACATAACTTTGGTAGAGTAACATGATTCGTTTTACTAAGTCACCACACCACGTGACAAAATGATACCATATTTTAGCCATTCATCACTATATTAAGAAAAGTGATACAGGGCAATAAATAAAATTTCCAAGTCCTTCCCAATGAGTTTGGGCACACAGCAAAGGCTTTACGCTATTTGTCAGTCATTTTGTTCACTGTGCTGTATTTCTCTTAGATGTAGAATTTCTTCTTCATGGAAAAAAGAGGTTAAATAGGCACAATTTGCAAGTGTTGTCCAATAGTGTTCTATGTTCATTACTTAAGGACTAAAAAGAAGCTCTTTGTTTAAACTAGTACTTAAAATTAATTTCTTAAAATAGTTGTATAGAGAAAAAGCAAAAACATTTGTAAAAACACTTTTCTAGTTTTACATTCTGAGTATTATGTCAGTTGGTCACAATATAAATAAATGCTTACACTTTCAGGGATATGCACTGTCATACATTTTATTCAACAAATATTTACCGACTTTACTACACGGGTTTACTTATTGTATTATTAGACACTTTCTGCCTTGGAAAAAATTAGAGAGGTCTTTCAGGCAGCACATTAAATATTTGATTTGGTTTTAAAAAAATTATGACAGTATATCTTTAATTTTTTTAAAAGGAAAAACAACAGTGTTCTTATTCTTATTTTATTTTATGCAACAGTAAACCTTAACTAGTAAATTTAAGGAATGGTTAAAAACAAGAACTCTAAATATCCTAAAAACAAACAAACCAAAACCCATAAAAACAAAGTGACTACAACTCTTAGATAAGAAAGGCTGCTTTGTGGAGTCAAAGTTAAAATCCTTTAAGCCTCTTGACTTTTCTTATTGAATGTCCTAATTTAACTACTTTTTTTCTTTTATTACAAACTTTTGGACCTAGGTTGTCATTCAACTTTCCTTTTTCTTGAACAATTTCCTGAAGCATAGATAGATCCTCAATTTGGTGTTCATTATTTTCTAAGCATATTAATTACCCCCTAAAGATAAAATAGTAGTAGTAGTAGTAGTAGTAGTATAGTCCAGGGAGAAAAAAATGTTATTACCCCCTACAATGTAAAAACTATAAGAAAATAAAGAATGTGAATGTGCAAAAATGTGGATATATAGAAGTATATGCTATGAAAAGAAAATGAGTACAAAATGTGAAATCTTGGAGGTGAACCCATCCAAACATATTTTTCAATGGAGAAAATCAGGTAAAGATCAATAATACATTTTTCAATAAACATAAAATCTAAGTACATAAAAATAGAATTAAAGCTAAGTATGATACAAAGACATTTCCATCTTGTTAAGACTGAGGACTAAACAAGTAGAAGGTGCCACAGAAAACGTACCTTATTTCATCCTAAAAAAACAGACTGCTAGATGCATTTTCCCTTCCTTTCTCTTTCCCCTATGGAGGTTAACATTATATGTGTGTGAATGCTTTCTAGCTAAAAATATAATACATTCACAATACATAAAGTTCCGAAATTACAGGGGGGAAAAACCAACAACAATCTATACTTTTACTCCAGAGGTAGTAGCAGGCAGTACTCTTTTCCCCTTCTCTCTTCTACTCCTTTCTTGTTCTCTTAAAATATAACTGGACAGCCATTTTACAAATCTGTGATGTTAAGTATCTTGCCAAAGGTTATTTAGCTACTATAATGTCAGTGCTGAGATTCAGTATACCAATTTATTCTCAGAGAAAATATTAGCCTTCAAACAAAACAAAGATATACTAGTTTTATATTTTAAAAAGTGTTCCTGCCCTAGCCGGTTTGACTCAGTGGATAGAGTGTCGACCTGAGGGTTCAAGGGTCCCAGGTTCGATTCCGGTCAAGGGCATGTGCCTTGGTTGCGGGCACATCCCCAGTAGGGAGCGTGCAGGAGGCAGCTGATCAATGTTTCTCTCTCATCGATGTTTCTAACTCTCTATCCCTCTCCCTTCCTCTCTGTAAAAATTCAATAAAATATATTTTAAAAAAAGTGTTCCACTTCTATGAAGAGTAATCCAATTTATAAATCACTCAGATGATGAATGCCTTAAAGATAAATAATAAATGAATGAATGTATAAAATACAGCCTCAAAGAAATCCTAAATAACATGAGGTGTGTGTTTGTCATGGTGGAAATAAGTTCCACCTGATGAACTTGCCAAAATAGCTAATTCTCCATTTCCTTTGTAAAACACCACCATCCCAGCCTCAGCAAATGGCTGAAATGCCCACACACTTCTACTCCACTAGCCAAACTGTATGTTTAATATACAGTTGCGTTTTCTCAAACCTGTTCATGTTAAACTCACGTAACTACATATCACACAAAGCCATGAAAGCTGAGTGCAAAAATAAGGGCTATTGTTTCTAACATACTTAATATCAAATGTTTCTCAAGTACATTTTAAAAATGAGTCTCTTTAAAACCAACTAAATGCAATCCTATCTAATAAAGATGGAATATGCAAATTGGCCATCACTTCATGACAAAGATGGCGGCACCCAGTCCCCTCAGCACCACCTGAGTCCCCCAGTCCTTTAAGCCCTCGCTGTGGGGGCGAGGGGCAAGCAGGCCCCTACAGAGAGCAGACAGCCAGGCCCTGCATGCCCCTTGCCACGGCGCCAAGGGGAAAGCAGGCCCCTGCAAAGAGCAGACAGCCGGGCCCCTACAGCAAGCAGACAACAGGGCCCTGCTTGCCCCTGGCCATAGTGGCGAGGGACAAGCAGGCCCCCCAGAGAGCAGACACCAGGGCCTGCGGTGGCGTCAAGCAGGTAGGTCTGCAGAGAGCAGAGAACCACGGGGATCAGGCCAAAGCTGTCAGTAGGACATCCCCTGAGGGCTCCCAGATTGGAGAGGGTGCAGGTCGGGCTGAGGGACACAAATTTTGTGCACCGGGCCTCTAGTAGAAAATAATCATAAAACCGCAGAAGGATATTTGACTCAGATTCTTTCAGAAGTGTCTGTGAATTCTCCCATTTATGCTAAGTGAAGCAAGCCAGTGAGAGAAAGACAAGTATCACATGATCTCACTTACATATGTAATCTAATGAGCAAAATAAACTGACAAACAAAATGAACCCAGAGACACTGAAGCATGCAAACAGTCTGACATATTGCAGAGGAGGAGGGAAAGAGATTAACCAAAGAACTTATATGCATATGTGCATATCCCCTGGTCACAGACAAGGGTGTGGTGAAGGCTTAGGAAGGGAGTGGGAGCGGGGTGGAGAGGGTTAATGGGGGAAGAAGAGTGACATCTGAAATATTTTCAACAATAAAGATAAATAAAAAATAGAAATAAATAAAGAAATTGAAAATATAATTATAGCCAATGCACTAATATTTAGATCCCAAGAAATTTATAATTAAATCCAACACTAATTTAGCCTTTGAAATATGACTTGAAGATAGACAAATGGTGAGGTAATGGTATCTTTAATAGGACGAAATGCCATCATTTCAAGTCAAAGTAATTATGAAAAAAGGCCTGCAAGACATACTGTAAATCATAATAAAAGCTAAGATACTTCTCCCCAACTCCACATGTAAAAGAAGTCACTAATACATATTTACTAGTTTTATTAGACAAATTAAAAAAAATATCATTAGGTATTGAACATTTTAATATGTTACCACCAACATATATGACAATGAAATATTTTCTGTAATTAAATAGAACATATACTGAAGTATAAACAATATTTTAGTGTGAATTTAGAGTTCTTCTATTTTTTCTAATGCTTTAAAAATGTAAATGCTAATTTTTATTTTCAGAGAATAAATATTGTTGCTATGATCTTTTCAGGAGATAATATGCTCTAATAAGGATCATGATTTTTGTAGAGTAAAATATTTCAACAGATTTTCCCCCATCTCTTTTCTACTCCTTTCTTATTTTCTTAAAATACAACTGAAAATTAAAACAAATAGGCAAATAGAAACCTCTTTGATAAAACCTATCATTCAAAATAGCCACTTGAAGACTGAAAGGGTTAATTTCAAGTAAAGAACTGGCTGGGATTCTGGGTTCTTTCTTCTTTGCACTTTCCCCAGGACATAAATGGCTCTTTCCAACCATATACTTCTGGGCTGCTGCTTCTTTTTTTTTCCTTTTGGTTAGAGTAAGTGATTTCTTTTTTCTCACTTTTATTTCTTCCAATTTATTTTCCTGTGTTTGGTATGCATTTAAGAAATAAATCACAACCTTCAAACATGGAATCTCCCCTATTTCTCACTGGGGGGCGGGAAAAAAGACGAGGAGAGAAGCCGGTCTCCACTATCCAAGTGCTGCTCTTCTCCCTCCAATTCAACACAGCCACTTTTACTCCCCACTCTTGTTCCTTGTTTTTTCTTTCCAACATGACTACTACTGAGTTTAAACATAGTTATTTTGGGATAGGTTGGAAGGTGTTATGCAATGGTGAGAAAGGAAAGAGACAGTTACAAAGATTTGTCTAAACCTGGTAGGTACATGCCATTATTCAATCCTTCACATAGAAGCCCCCTATAAGCACAGGTTATATAGGTTGTGCTACATGTTGTATGGCAACTCACCAACCTAAATGTCCATACTGATGACTAATTCTGGAGATGAGGCAACACAACTAGGCATTAATTAGATTTTAAATCCACTCTGTGTGTGTGTACATGTGTGTATATGTGCTTGCACATGCATGTGTACACAGGTAAACAGCTATATAGACATCTCAACAGAATTCTATGCAAAAGACTGACAGCAAATTCAGAAGAAAAATATTTTCCTATCTAGCTAAAAAATAGTAAATCACCAAATGGGGGGATTCTTTCTCTTGCCAATAACACATAATATTCTTTTACCTACTCCAAAATATCAACTTTATAAATTGTTTTAATAATCCTCCAGTATAATTTGCTGATAAAATTCATCACCACTTAATGACAGGCATAGCTAGTCATCACCCATATTGATGACATGAGAAATTTAAAAATACAAAAAGGCTCCACAGATTACAGGAATGCACAGTTTGCATTCCAGTCATCAACCTGCTCAATTGGATCACATCCGCCTGAGCTTAGCAGCTTAAAATTCATTCCACAGCTGGCAGTGCTGACATGGATATGATAAGACAGAAGCACAGAAACACCACTCTGAAGTAACCTAACTGAACTGCACATGTTCTGACCCTTTTTGTCCTCCCTGGAGCTTTTGCTACCTGGCAAATGCAACTCTAAAACTGCACTTGTATCTCCAGATCTTTGCTGTTAGCCAAGCAGAAACCTATTTCTCCCAGGGACTGGCAACCAGAGAGGTGTTCTCTGAAGAAAACTTCTAAATGAGTGTGTGAGCTGAACTCTTACTGAACTGAATTAATTATTAATGATGCAGATGGAGCTGTCCAAATGATAAGAATAGCTCCTGAGGTGTCATGATCCAAGCTTTCATTAAACCATTTCAGGCATACTAATGGTTTCCCACTGCTCATTACTTGCAAGCACTTTTCTCATAGATATAATAACTCTAGTGGCCTGTAGGCGAGACACTCAATAGAAACATAGAAGTAGGAAGTTTTATCTTCCATAGCATGTTATTTTTCTTCATAGAACATTATGAAAGATGTACACTTGTTTAATATTACTAAGTTAAACAGTTTCAATTCAGAAAAATTGGAAATGAAAAACTAGTTATAAGAATACTCCTTAGGGGGTGGAGGGTGGGTGGGGAGGGATTAATCGGGGGAACTTATATGCATTTTTGCATAGCCCATGGATACAGACAATAGTGTGGTGAAGGTCTGGAGAGGGTGGATATGGGGTGGAGGGGGTCAATGGGGAAACAAAAGGGACATCTGTAATACTTTCAACAATGAAGACAAATTTTTAAAAAAGAGTATTCCTTAAAAATGTAGAGGATACCATATAATTTATATTACTAAGATTTGTGTCTAAATTGCCTTTCAAAGGTCCTGTATTACCAGAAGAATATATGCAGGTAAATTTATTAATATTCAACAAACCTGTATTCTACAATGGTATCATATCTCAATTTAGGTTACACGCAAGATAATGTTTTACACTCTATTCCATTCTGTCTCTGTGCTGGGACAATTAGAGGGCAAAGCAATTGCAAGAGAAGAATCACTCTCAGGATCTTTAACTGTGATTGCTACCTGCTGTTTTGTTTTGTTTTAAGTTGGGAACACTGTTCCCCAAAGCCCTTCACATCTCAACTTAAATGATTTGGTAGAGGATAATAATGACACTGTAAAATGGGCAATATAATAAAATGTCCTTTACCTTTTCTTACTGGAAACTGAGTATATGTGAACATTAACTCCTTCTGCCAAGTGAAACCGTTTTTATTGTTCTAAAGTAAGTATTTATCTTTAGAGATGGAAAATAAATAAAACTGCAGTACAAAAGAAGACATATAGACCAAATATCCCTAAAATGTTCTTTAAAATGTTCAAAATATCAATATATTTGGTCAAAGGCTAAGAGGGAAAAAAGAAGCTTGTATCTATAAGGACTGTATCCTTTCATGTTAGCTATTTGTCTTATAATTCAACCTAGGCTTAGGCTGTGTTAACATCAGTAAACCAAGAACGAAAACTGGGACAAGCATCTGGATTGAGTAATTCCGACGAGAAATCAGCTTTCCCAGCAACACTTTTCCTGGTCTGATTCATACAGGCATTCATCTCAAGTTTTCATTTGGCTTTGTATAATTGTGTTAAAAATTCATTTTAGTGACAAATGTACATACACTTAAAGTAGTTTTAAATTTCCTTGTATTACTAAAATTTTTCTCAACTTTATGAAACACTAGTTAACCACAGAACTATCCTAAGGAGCTCATTTGTGTCCCTTTTTAAGAAAAAGAATGCTTAAACAGTAATAAAAAGATATAGGCAATATTTAAACTTGTTTATGTTTCCTTTTCAATCTTATAATGGTCAATAACATCTATTTCTAACAAATTAAGGCTATAACTGAGTGAAAAGTTTTTAAATACTGAAATCCAAATATATTTGTTACATTTTCATTTTTATTAGACTTCAAATATTTGACTAACAATAATGTAGGAAGTTAAAAAAAACCTTAATGTCATTATACTTATATCAAATTTATTTTAAAATACAAGTTATTTGGTATTTTAAGTCTTAGAAAAGTAACTTTATTTCTAATGAAGCTAAATTTGATTTATTATTCACTCATTAATCTAAGCTTAAATATATTTTTGACAATCATATACTTTACAAAGTGGTCCCCTCAATATTTCAAGTACCCACCTGGCAGAGTTATTACAATAGTATTGACTATATTCCCTCTGCTATACTTTACATCCCTGTGACTATTTTGTTACTACTAATTTGTAGTTCTTAATCCCTTCAGCTTTTTCACCCTCAAAGCGCCTCCACTCTGGCAACCAACAGCCTGTTCTCTCTGAAACTAATACAAAATAATACTGAATGCAAACTGTAATTGAAAAATTAAAAAAAAAACTACCCTAAAAAGAACTCAGGATATGGACATTTATTTAATAGTACTAAATTACTGTGTGAAAATTAAGATAGTAAATATTAAGCTAATTTTCTTTCACTTTCATAAAATATTCACTTAATTCATAAATGCCATATAGGCTTGGTACAGCACAAATATTATAGATTTTGGAGACAGAACTTCCTGAATTAAAACTCTTAGCAAAAACACTCCACTACTTAAAAATGAAATATGCTATACATATCAGTTATTCCTTTATAATTATCAATCTAGTTTAAAACTATGCAATCTTAACATGTTTTATATGTGAGTAGATTTTCAAAGATTACATTTTTTTATCAAGCTAAATTAAAAATAAGAAAAAATACTTTTTACAGGAGAGAGGATTTCACAAACTACTAATTAGTAAGTGTATAAACTCTCAGTAATGGTATAATATTTAAAATATACTATATAATTTTATCCCATAAGCTAGATGGGTTTATAATCATTGAAGGCATAGATAAGTAACGGTAAAACAAAGTATCCCCTTTTCAACAGCACTGCTAAAGCAGCAAGCCAAAAATGAAGGGAAAGTAGGGTCTGCTTACCAGAATAATGAAAGTAACAGGTCCAATGAAACTCCATATAAAATAGTTATCAACATGAAGCCAGCAACTATTATGAAAAGAAAAATAATGTAATCTAAGTAGCTTCAATGGATACTTAACATGACAAGGAAAATATAAATTTTAAAATCTAATAAAAGTGCATTTACATTTGCCTTTGAAAATTCATTTATCATGGGCAAGAACAATTTTATTAATTCTAGGCTGAGTTTCACGTAAAAAATAGCAATATATTTACTTCAACCTACTGGTTTTCATTTCAGGTTTTAAATTTGATAAAGACATAGTTATGTTTGTATGAGGAAATAATAAACATCACCACATCCCAATCCCTAATTCTTAAGATCATTGACTTTACTAAGAAAAACTTGAAACTCAATATTCCAAACTGTCTCATCATTTTAAAGCTATCTTCAATTTTTGCCTTTCAGATCTATATGTGAGCTTAAAGTGCTTAATCCTAGGAAACATAATAGACAAAAAAGTTTACATTATATTTGTTGCAAAACTGCATAGCATAAATAAAATACCTCAACTGAGAATGGATAAATACTGGGGGGAAAAAAATCAAAGCATAGACTCAAACAGTATTAGAGTAAATGATGCATAAATTTATTAAGACAGATTTTACTTAGTGGTTCATTTTTCACATAACACTGAATCCCCACTGAATTTCTTTTATTTGTCTTTCATCATCTGTACAGTCAAAAAAGCTTTCTTTAGTCCAAAGAATCTTTATATAACTAATTTTATCAAAGGAAAAAATAAACAGAATTAGAAGGCAAATTCATGCCTCTAGCAAATAAAATCTTTAGAAACATGGCTATGTCCTACTTTCTGTCACTTTCCATAAATATCTATATTTTTATAAATGAAAGACAGTGACTTATTTTAATCCTTTCAAACTGCCTGATAAAATATTATCAAAGTAAAACATATGGAAAGGAATGTGCTACTGTCACAATTCAGAATGAGAGTTAGCTGGAGGGCTGGCTGCACAAAGAGAACTAATGAAGCATTAGCTTAAAACTGAGTAGTTAGACCTGTCAGATGCCTTAAGTTCAGAAGGATTTTTACTTAATATCTTTCTAAGGCCAAAAAGTTATTTACTTTTTCAATTTGTTTCAGGTCAATCTTTTGTATTAAAAAAGAAAGTCCATAATTTAGAATCTGCCTCACCAGAGTACAAATCCTCTGAACCTAGAAAATTACAAAAGACTTGATTGTAATTTGCACACGGCATGCCCATTCTCTTCCAATAAAGCTTTCAGAGGCTATTTTAGTCTGTCAGGGAACCTCACTGACAGCTAACAGGCTTTAAAAAATTATTCACTTGAAAAACACTCAGGTCGCTTGCAATTACTTACGCCTTTTCTGTTCCATAGCTCTTATAGTCAATAGCAGCTGAAACTCCAACCACTGTGGCAGGAAACAAGTAACCAGCAACATAGTAATATTTCTTCCTTGAATATTCACTTTCAAAAACTTCAACTAACATTAGATAGAGCTGCACACCTTCTAAGCACATCCAAGCAAAAGCAGCCAAAAAGAAAAAGTGTAGAAGTCCTGCAAATATTGAGCATGCAATCTATAAAGAAAAAGAAAAAAAAACAAAAACAAAACACAAAGAACACATGAATGGAAACAGCCCACTTCATAATTGTAAAACAGTCACTGATGGTGCTCACCACTGTCTTTAAAAATTTATCATTATTTAAATACTGCGTCTTTAAATTTTTTTTTCAAAAATGGAAATGAGTTACAAACACTGCCAAATTTGGAAAGTGTAATGCTCTTAGTATATATAATATGCCAGGTGTGCTAGAAATTTCACCACTCTAAAGTATTACGATTTGTAGTGAAATTTCTTAAAAATTAAAGAAATAAAAAAGCATCTTAATTTCTCTTCTAGAATGATCCATGATTAACTCTTAATACTCTACTTGCAGATGATCTGTTTCATTATAGAACAGTTGTTTCCAAATATACTATTTCTATTTTTTTTCTATTCCAGAATTTTAAAAATTTGCTTTAATGACAAATACCCCAGCTCTAATTACCTAACATTACTTTCCTGTCATATGTAAAGGATTCTTAAATTCAGCCCAGTGCAAATGAATATAGGGTGAAAAATTAACTAATTATTAAATTATGTTCATAACATGGAAAAGTCATAATGAATAAAGTGCTCAGAATATGAAGAAATGATCACTGGTCAGAATAACTATGTGAGAAAATTAAAATTGTAAAAACAGAATCTTTCCATTTCAGTATCCCAACATTCTTCTAATCAAATTATGTGTCTTAGTAACAACCCAGAAAAATGTCAACTGTACCTTACTATGAGGAATGAATGAACTCATAATTTTGTTTAATGACTGGGCTGCCTTTTAATTTACTACAAATTATCCTTCAATTGTGCCATGTCAATTAGACTGTTAACAAGGTCAAATATTAATATCAGCATACAAGAATGAGGGGATTCACACTTGACATCATAATTTTCAGAGATTCAAGGTCAATAAACTGAAGGGGTGCTTACCATGTAGTCTGTCTTATCAATGCCTATTAGAAAAATAAACTCAGCAATGAAAAGGTTGATACAAAGATTCTTGTGAATTGTGTTACGGTCACTCTGGAGACCACGGAAAAAGCAGAAGGTGAAAATGCAGATAGCCAGGCAAACAAGGGAAATGACAATTCCCACCCAGGTGATGACTGTCAGGAGTAATTCGTGAACTCCATCTTTGTACTGAAAATAAAAACACAAAAAACGTTAATATTCCTCATTACAACTCAAGGTGAGTTTTCACATGTGATAGCTCATCTTTTAATACTAAACCCTCTGAACACTCATGTGTGCTCCAACAGGGCTCAATACTAAAAAGAAATATTGATCATATAACACAGTTCAATATTATCAATATTTATATCCAAAGATGACATATGAAAGTGGAAGAATTTACTAGAAAGTAATCCAATTATTTCAAAATGATTGAAATGATTACCTAAACATAGAAAATATAAAATAATAAAGAATATTTAGTAATGATAAAAAATAATTGGTATTAAATGACTTCCCAGCTAACATATGAGTCAAATTTTAAGTTTTAACTTTCTCTTTGGGTTTTTATATTATACTAGAGGCCCGATGCACAAAATTCATGCAAGAATAGGCCTTCCTTCCCTTAGCTGCTGGCACCAGCTTCCCTCTGGCACCTGAGACCCAGGCTTCCCTTGCAGCCCCGGCTTCGTCCAGAAGGTCATCCGGAAGGACATCTGGTCTAATTAGCATATTGCACTTTTATTATTATAGATTTTATACTAAGAATCAAGTATACAACAGTTCTGAGAGCTTTCATGCTGTTTCTTAAAGTATTTTTATCTTCTAGCTATTATTTTCTTAATCACATAAAGAAATACTAAGGAATATTCCAGTAACCATTCTGGCCTTTCAAAATCTGCAGTTTGCAGTGAGCAAAATGATTAGGAAACTTAAAAGTTGTGAAATGAGATTCGAACATTCAAGAGGAGGAGGGTATGAAACTTTAGAGCCCTCTCTCTTTAGTATGGCCTATTTCAATCCCCGACCACCTCTGCCAAACACCTGCCCAAAGGAGAAAAACTCAGAATAAGTCCGTAAAGCACATGATTTTGAGAAGTAACAATATAGTGCCAAGGCTTCCTAAAATATATGGCCAGTGTAGAAACAATAAGAAACCCACATTACTCTGCTTGCTTTTTAGTTACGACTAGCACCCAAAGAAGGGATTGTCACACAGCTGTTTTGAATCTCTGAGGTTTTTCTCTGCCACTAATTAGAAGTGCAAATACTTACTGCAATTTCCCTGTGGGCCATAAGAATTGCAAAATTGGTTAGGTGGCTGCATGCACATGTTGTACGAGTTTTATTAGTGTCAACCAGCTTGCAGCCCTGGGTAGACCAATATCCCATCATAGTTCTTTCTGAGTAGTTCCAGAAGGAGCAGTTTGCATTGAAGTAATTGTCAGGCTGGGAAATAATGTGACAAGATAAAATTAGGATTTTTACACTCTAACACGGCAATAGCAATTGTTTAATATGTGTAAAAGGTAATTTAGATTAAACTTTGTAAGTTTCGGACTATAAAATTTTTCATCAGCAAAATTGTAGACTATGCTATGCAAGGCAGATATCTAACTTAAGAGGAGCTTTATAGTCCAAAACACTCTAAAGTGTTCCATAAATTACCAAAGACCCATTTTACACAATTACAATTTCCATCTTATGATTTTATATATTGATCGCACATTAGAACCATTTCTTTTCCTTTTCTGACAAGATCAGACCCATGGATTTGTTCTAAGAAAACTCTGTAAGGACCAAATGTTTTTAAATCAATTTCCCATGTAGAGCTCATGTTTATTCTCAGTGACACGTTTGCAACATCAGGATTCTTAGAAGACTGAATCAACTGCAGCAGATATAAGACGAGAATAGCCACACACATTTATTTTTCTTTGCCAATTCTGGAGGTCCACTGGGTTATCTGTGGGCACATATTCACTCTACGTATAACAATAGCCCAAATTCTTCAGTCTTCCAACACAGTGTAATCCTTTAACTACCAACTTGCATTCTAAGGCATATCTCTTCCATTCTAGACTTGGTAACATCTGGGCTTGATAATAATTGGGTCAAATATGATCAGAAAAACCAAAAAGAGATCTGCTACACTAAAAAGGCAGAGTCCTGTCAGTTAACACTGGGCTCTCCGGCTGCTAAGGTAAGAGTTGATTTTCATTCTAAAACAAATTATAGTCATTTACATTTTCCTGTTGATTACTGTATTAACGTTCATTAAAAATACACTTATGCTGTAATAATCACTGAACCTCACTTAATTTTATGTTCACAGACTTAAATAAACTTGTCGTTCTGACCTAGTCCAACATTTGAAATTCTAAGGCAAGATCCTTTCTTTCCACTCCGTCATCTCCCCATTCCCCCTCTCCCCATGCCCAGCATGTCAGCTTTGCTTTCCTTCCTCACTGGTTTTCTAACCTTCCGCAACTTTATTAACATACATAACTTACATCAATGTGTGGCAGGGTAAAAAGCACAGGATCTGTCAAGTACACTCGGCTGGATTCTTTATTGATTGAAACCGAAATGACGTGGGAATTCACTGCAATGGTGCTATTACGACCAATAAAGTCAGCACCCAGTTTTATGGTTGCATTTTCTGTACTGAGGAACTGTCCCAGGCTCCGGTAAATGATGAACACCAACTTTGCAAGCCCTAGGAAAGTAAAAACAGCCACACGACTTTACGGGAAACACACTTATGAATAATAATTAAAAAAAATAGATACATTAAAATAAGAATAAAATGAAAAAAAATCCTTATGGAAAATCTTTATTTCAATTGAGTTCACTGGGAAACAGTAAGGCATTATTTTAAATCTGCTGTTAAATGTTAAGGTGTATTTGTTATATCAGGAGTCAAATACTCAGCATTTTAGACCTAACAGGTTTAAGCGAACAAATAAAACCTGTCAGTTTTTAAAGACGGTTCCACCTTACCGTTCCTGCTGTTCTGTTTGACAGTGTTTGCAGAGAGCTGGATTGAGCTGCCTGCTCCTTTGATGCCCAGAGGAAATTTGAAGTCCTGAACTTGTCCTTCTGTACTGAGAACTGCAACTTCCAGGACTGCGTGAGGCAAAGGAATAAAGGAGTAGGAGTAAGGGGGCATTCTTTAAACTACAAAGAGCAAATGATAATTGCATGAAAACCACTGTTTCTTTTTATCTACTTACAAAACTTTACTGTTAGAGCTCAACAAAATATGAACCAAATTACTCTAAGAAGTTCTTATGCCTTGACTACTCTGAAAAATTTCATATAATCATTTTGATGTATTTCTTATATTTCGTATAAGCATTTTCTTCTAGGTTTATATTTTTTGTCATGAATTAATTCCAGACTTTTAGCCTATGAATAGTATATGAATTCATAACACAAAACTTTCAGTGTTTTATTTTAATGATTAAACAAAAGTATTTCAAAATGATACCTTGGCTCTTTATGTTAAGTAAGTTTTCAATGGTTATTTGCTTGCCAAGGGTAAAACCATGAAGTATAAATTTGAATGTCTTTATTGTATGTATACATCTATTTACATGTGTAAGATATGTTTTAATACAGAAGACTCCACAGGTCAGTTTTACAGTAATAGATTTTTCTCTAATTTCTAAAAGTGGTAAGACCAGCTAAGTTTACTTATGAGAAAATGCCTAGCATGATATTAAAACTCCCCATTAATTTTCACTAGTAACTATCTATCTGTACATATTTAAGTTGGTCAAAATAGGCCCTATGTGTCAAATCTGGCCTGCTACCTGCTTTTGGAAATAAAGTTTTATTGGAACACGGCCTGCTTACATCTTGTCTTATGGCTGCTTTGATGCTACAATGCCAGTTAAATATTTGCAACTTAGACCACATGGACTGAAAAGCCTAAAATATATACTATTTGGGCTTTCACAGTAAAAGTTTGCCAACTAAGGATAACACATACTCTAAATAATTCAATAAATAAAGTTCATATATATTTTTCCGAAGTACACCCTCTCTAATGGTGTATATCCTTGCATAGCTATTTCTATACTTAGATACCAGGTAAAGACGTATGTACACATACACACATACAACGATGCATTTACTCCCTTTCTTTTTACAAAATGGGCTTATGCTATTATAGAGTAACTCTTGAATACTAATTTTTTTACTTTTTATCTGTCACACCTTTGTTTTGTAAAATACATATAGATTTATTTATAAATATAAAATTATAATGCTGGGAGATTTTTATAAGCTATCAGACCACATGTCAAGCATCTAAAATACAAGTTTATAATGAGAGTCATATAACTCCTAGAAGTCTATCAGCTTAAGAGATTGGCTGAGATACTTATTTTATTGATCCATGCTTAGAAAGATCAAGCTGATGAGCAGGTGAATGATCTCTGCTCGTATCAGATTCCATGTGTGCGGGTAGGGAGTTAAAAGAAGAGTGACAAAAATATGCATCTAATATATACCTCTCTTTTCCTTTTACTGAAAGGCACTCAATTATTCTCAAAACAAGATGGAAGACAGGATGAAAAAAGGAAATAATCTTGAGTTTCATGAAATGTTCCAAATACAGATATATATGCACAAAGAGTTAATTTCCTTCAACAAATATTTACTTATTAGAGTTTAAAAATTACATCTATTAAATATATAGATGCAAAAGTATTTAGTAAGTTTATACATACTTTAAGTACAACATCCTGAACAAACTGAGTTTAACTCAAAAAGTCTTCCAGAAATCAATGCATTAGAAAATATATTAATGGCCCGACTGGAGGGGCTCAGTGGTTGAGAGCATCGACCTATGAACCAGGGGGTCATGGTTGGATTCTTAGGCAGGGCACATGCCCAGGTTGCGGGCTCGAACCCCAGTGGGGGACATGCCGGAGGCAGCCAATCAGTGATCCACTCCATTAATGTTTCTATATCTCTCTCCCTCGCCCTTCCTCTCTGAAATCAATAAAAATATATGTAAAAAAAGAAAATATAGTAATGTAACTTACCAAATTAAGATAAAGCAGAAAGAATTAAACAAATTCCAATACTCATTCAATATAAGAAATCTTTACAAAATAATAGGAATAAAAAAAAATTTCTTGCTCAGATAAAGGTTTTGGTATCAGATAAAGGGTACCTTTTTAAACTTAGAGCAAACAATGGTGAAAAGCTCTGGAAGCATTTCTTTTAAAGTCAGGATGATCCCTATCACAGGTTTTATTTAGCACTGTACTAAAAGAAGAGCTAATGCAGCAATTCAAGAAAAACAAAAGCTATAAAGACTGGAAGGAAAAAGCAAACTGTTATTATTTACAGAAAATATAATTAACAACATAGTAATCTTGAGGGAGACTCCATATACTCAGAGAAGTAAAAGAATTTGGCAAGGCTACAGCCAGCAAAATTAACTGTGGTCCTACAGACTAAGCAACAATTAGAATATGTAATTTTAGAAGAATTAAAGTTAATAAAATTTTATTTTAATTACAATAAAAATAAATAGTGTAGTTCCCAAGGACTAAACCTAATAAGAGAAAAGTACAAGATATTAATGGGAAAAACACAGAACTTTATTAAAAGATCTAATAACAAATGAAGGATTTTTTATGGTCTTACTTGAGAGAACACAATAAATTTGTGACACTTCTTTTAAACTCTATCTATAAACTCAGTCTAATTCTAATAAAAATTCCAACAAGATTTTTTGAGTACCAATAACTTGACAATCTGATTTTAAATTTCACGTGGGGGAGCCATGCCAAAAGCAGGCAAAGCAATTAATTCTTCACAGAACAGAACTGAAAGAACTCATCAGATAGTAATATTATTGAAACAAAACCAAAGCAATGCCTAACACATACTCCTAACATGAACATAAACTTGATATATGACTGAGATATCATTACAAACCAATAGGGAAAGGAATGGATTATGCAACTACAAATACAAGTATTGAACAACTAATTATCCATATGGAGAACATAATCAAATTAGTTACCTCCTACATACATAAACAAAAGTTAATTTTAGGTGGATTAAAAGCATAATTGTAAAAAAGGAAAGTATTATGATTTCTAAAGAAAATACAAGATCTTTACAACTGTAGAGAAGATTTTCTTGAGCAAAACACCAAAAAATACTTTTTAAAAAGATATCAGAAGCACAGCCCTAAAAGAATAGATAATAAATTTTACTTCATTATTCTGTAAAACAAAAGAAATCATAAACAAAGTAAAAAAAGAGAAGGCATAAATAAAAAATAAGTATTTGCAAACTATATAATTCTCAAAGAATTAGTGTTCAGAATGCATTATCCACAGAGAAAAAGGTACACAGGAAAAAGTTGTAGACAACAAATTTACTGGAGAGAAAACAAACAACAATAAATGCATTAAGTAGTCAAAGAACTGCAAATTAAAACAATAATGTGATCAAGTCAAACCTATTAAAATGACAAAGTTTATGTCAATAATAAAGTGTTAACAAAGACAGTGGCTGGGAATAATGGTATTACAGGTGAGAATGTAAAATGGTAAAACTATATTGGAAAGCAATTTGACAGTATTTAGTAAAGTTGAAGATGGGCATGCTCTAAGACTCAAAAATTCTATTTCTAAGTATATATGTACATATATGTCTGGAAGGCATACATATGAACAAGAAGACACAAAAACTTTCACTGAAGTTTTCTTACAGTACTAGGAAAAACACATAAGCCACTGAAGTACCTCTCACTGGCACAATTAAATAATAGTGAAGTCTTCTTATATCAGATGAATGCACTAGAAATGCATGTATTAACAATACGTAAACATGAAAATTACCATAATAGAGAAAAATTACTCAATTACATTTGTAGTGTGAAATCTTAACTTGAAAAACAAAAAGTAACTGTTAAATGTACATTTCCCATAGAGCAAAAATTTTTTTAAAAAAGCTTACCAATGTTAACAAGTAATTTAAAGATGATGGTTACTTCCTTCTTGATCTGATCAAGAAGGAGGAGACCCAGGATTGTTTATAATATTATCTACTTCTGTATGCTTGAAATAATATATGCTTTGTTCAATAGATCTCCTGAAATTGAATCCACTTGATTCATAGGAGAGCCTCACTCACAACCAATGCTGTAGATAGGATTTTAATATATTTCTCTGTTCTATTTTTATAATTCATCACAGAGTATTAACTGCAATGAGAGGAGAAGGGGAGTAAAGTGAGAGAGCATATAGGGAGAACTACTGCTTCTGCCAGGAGACCCATCACATTGTAGCCTCCATCACCCTGAGTCCCAGGGTAAACATAACTTGAAGCCCACAGATGACAGGGAGCAGCACCAAAGCCCAGCCTGCAATGGTGACGCAGCATGATCGGTATAATCCTTTGTTGTCGTGAGCTGCTGTGACTTTGGGGGTTTTGTTACTGCAATGTAACTAAGCTTACACTGACATAAAATCATGCAGGCTACTAAGCCCATTGGAGAATGAATGATAGTAAATTTTATAATGGGTGAATTAGGCTGATAATACTAAAACACCTAATCAATGGCAAGATACAAAGACAAGCAAACATGTGCCTCATGAATAGGATGCAATAGAAAGTTCTGGGGGAGAGGAGGGAGATAAGACTTACATCTGACCTGATCAAGCCTCCTGATATAATTTTCAGTATATATCATTCATGATAAAATGATATCACAGGATGAAATAAGCCAAGTCCAGAATGTGGGGTATTCTACAGAACAAATTATCTGGTCAGTTTCTTCAACAAAAATGAAAATGGTTTTAAAAAATAACTGTATGGATAAATGGCTTTTAATTAAAAGAGACTAAATCATTGTATCAATTAAATGTCTCACATGAACTTTTTTGAATCCTGGTTTAAAAAATTGTTATTAAGTATTAACAAATTTATATGAATCAAGTAAATTTAAGCACATGTTTGTTATCTTTTGAAGCTATTTTTGTTAAATTTTAAAGTATGAAAATGACATTGTGTTTTCTTGGAAAAAAGTATAGGATATTTACCAAAGTATTTAAAGTAATAATAATATGATGTTAAGATCTGCTTTAAAATAATAATAATGAGAAGAATAAGTGAAACAGGATTAGCTTAGATGTTGAATAAAAAACTGCTTCTCTCAAGATATCATTAAGAAAATTTTTTTTAAAATCACATACTGAGGGAAAACATTCAGAGTACATACACTTGACAAAAGATTTGTATCAAGAATATATAAAGAATCTTTGTAACTTATTACTACAAAGACCAACGATCTAATTAAAAATGAGCAAAATACATGAGCAGACACTTCACAAAAAGATATATGAGAGGCCAATAAGCGCACTTAAAAAGTTGAACAGTTATCAATAAAATGTAACTTAGCAATCATACAAATGCAAAATAAAACCAAAATGAAATGCTACTAGACTAAACTTAAAAAGACATTTGAGAAGACAATCCTAAATGTTGGTGAAAATGTGGGGCAACTGGAACTCTCATTGCTGTTAAGAGTAAAAAATGGTACAACGACTTGGGAAAAGAGCAGCTTTAATAAAATTGCAGTCAAAAAGTGGAAATGACCTAAATGTCTAACAAGTCAGTTAATATACAACTAGTGGTATGTCCTTAAAATGAAACTAGAGGCCTGGTGCACGAAATTCGTGCACTGTGTGTGTGTGTGTGTGTGTGTGTGTGTGTGGTTGTCCCTCAGCCCAGCCTGCACCTTCTCTAATCTGGGACCCCTTGAGGATGTCCGATTGCCTGTTTAGGCGTGATCCCAGTGTGATTGGGCCAAAAGGGCAGTTGGACATCCCTCTCACAATCCAAGACTGCTGGCTCCCAACCGCTCGCCTGCCTGCCTGCCTGATAGCCCCTAACTGCTTCTGCCTGCCAGCCTGATCGCCCCCTAACCACTCCCCTGCCAGCCTGATCGACACATCGACACTTCCCTGCTGGCCTGGTCACCCCTAATTGCCCTACCTTGCCAGCCCGGTCACCCCTAACTGTCCTCCCCTGCTGGCCTGGTCACCCCTCACTGCCCTCTCCTGTTGGCCTGATAACCCCTAACTTCCCTCCCTTGCCAGCCTGGTCGCCCCTAACTGCCCTCCCCTGCCAGCCTGGTCAACCCCTAACTGCCCTCCCCACATATCAGGGCTAATTAGCATATACCTTTCTTATTTGTGTTGGAGTGATGGTCAATTTGCATGCCGGTCATGAGTCATGACTAATTAGCATATCCGGTTGTAACTGTGAGGGTGTTGCAACCAATTTGCATATTACCCTTTTATTAGTATAGATACTACTCGGCAATGAAAAGGATGGAATTACTGATGCTCACACCAACATGGGTGAATCTCAAAAACATTATTCTGCATAAAAGATCAAAATCATATATTATATGATTCCATTAAACTAAAGGTCCAGAAAAAGCAAAACTATAGTGATAGAAAACAGATCAATGGTTGTCTGGAGCTGGGGGTACCAGGAGACTGTCTGGAAAAGAGCATAAAGAACCCTTTTAAGGTGCTAGAAATGCTGACCATGCTGTTAGTTAGGTGGGTGTACATTTGTCAAAACTCATCGAACTGTACAGCTGTTCTTATTGTATATAAGATAAGATATAACTGAAAGTTGACTTTTAAAAGCTATACCAGATATAATTATGGCATTTTTATAAAGTCATACATAAGGGTAAACCATACAATAAAGTAAATTAAGGACTGAAGGAGAAATCACTAAGGAGAAAAAACAAATTGTTTTAATAACCAAAGACTTTGTAACCATATTCTAAATTTAGGCAAGAGCATCAAGAGAGTGAGAACATAAAAGGATAATGGGCCATTTTAGTCCTCTGTCTAAAATGAGAATAAGTTGAATGTATTCCTCATACTAACTCATGTATAATATTTGTCACAAAATTCTTTTTATCTCAGAAATAAAAAGACATACTGTATTAGAATATGTAAAATGACTTTCACAGTGATAATTACTTGGGTAATCTACACACACACACACACACACACACACACACACACACACACACAGTAAGTTCAGGGCATTGTTTTTGAGAAGTCAAACATGTTTATTACATTCTATAAGAATCTCCACCCATAATGTTCCTTTTTAAAGAAAAACAATTTTTTAAGTATAAAACATACTCCTTTAGAACTCTAAAAAACATAGGTATTGGGAAAAATATATTCCTAAACACTTAAATCTTCAGACTATGTCTCAAATTGAGATAAAACTATCTGGGACATATAATAAGAGTTATCTGCATTATTGGAGGCTAATGGGAGCACAGACTATCAACCTGACCTGTCAGATTTTCTGGCACTCTTGGGAGGAGCATAAAAAGGAAATTTTAGTTTTGGGTTTTTTTTTTTTGTTTTAAATATAGCCTTTAGAAGACTCAGAAAAAACAAACCGAGGTCATAACATTTTCCATGACTCATCCTCTAAGATGATCAAGTCTACACTCCTTTATCCTTACAAGTACATCACTGGAAACATTTGAGAAGACTCATTTAAGGTTTATCTTAGGAATTTCATTAGACTAGTAAATAAATTAACCTTAGAAATAATAAAAGCTTTAGAGAGGGGAGCTTTATTCACTCTGTATTATTACTAAGGCTATGGTAGGTACCATTTTCCTTATGACTGATCTCCCAGATCATGTCAGGCCAAATTATTTTGATTTCATTTAATTTGAAGTTACTGAGTTATTTATCACTTTAAAACCTCACAGTAAATAAAAACATGATTTTAATAATACTTTATTTCTCTCTAGAAATTCATTTAAATCAATTTAAAGTTTTGAATTTAAATCCAAGTATCACAATCTGATTAATGCCTATTTCTTCTATATACTTTACATTTCTACATTTTCTAATATAAAGTCCCATGATTTAGGCAGACACAATTAGGTAATGAGATATGGCATCCCAGATAGCAAAACTTCATTCAATATCTACTGTTCCAGATATATACTCCTTTGGTGAAAGATTAGTCATGATCCCTTCTGGGTTTTTTTTTTATATTTATGCTTGGAAAACTTTTTTACTTTATTTACTAAGGGATACTATAAAACTTTAAGCTCAAACTCACTGAATGAGCAACACTACTAAATCAGTCAAACCTAAATTTATGTTACTGTACTTCTTTCAAGTATCACAAGTTAATCCCTGCCTCCTGTTGCCAGCCTTCAAATTCTAAATCATGCTTCAAACTATCGGCAGCTATTTTGCAATCTATGAAGCATGGACATTCTACTGTATGGAAGATGTAGCTCACTGATCACATTTTCACCTGAAGGCAGTTGTGATTAATATAAACATTTGGCTCACACTGTTTGCCTAAAATATTTGACTGGGATAACACATTCCAGAAAGTAATTTAAATTCATTAGGAACATAATATATGAAATGGAAAAGCGTTTGCCACAGTTCCACAGCAAGCACTTCCATTACTTAAGCAATCCATATTCAGGCATTTAAGTACTCTAACACATTTTTCCTTTAATGATTTTTCAGTGGGGAATAAATACAATACACACACACATGACACCAACTTTTAAAAGATATAGGAAAGGTGTTGGCTTCTGAATTAAGTTTATGAAATGTGATCAATAATATCTCTTGTTAACAGACAAAAATATTTCCACAGAAGAGATGCTGGCCACTGGGAAATAACAGATTCAGAATGGAAACATCATTATCTTAAACATCTACCTTCTAAATCAAAGATTAAGCCTGACAGCAGGTTCACTTACCAATATTTTCGGTGGGCATTGAGACTCTGGTTGGTTCTACCAGATTGTCAGCCAGGACAAAAGCCCCTTCTTCCAACGTATCCAGTAACATCGTTGCAGTATGCGCTTGTTCAGAAGAATTCATGTGTTTCCACGATTCCAAAGCTTCAGGTTTCAGAAGGTTGTCCACTGTGTCAACAATTGCCTGCATCCATTAGAAAACCATCATTCATTTGGACTGCTTGTAGTACCAAAGTGATTTTTCAATCACTGACTAGTGACAATAATTTCAAGATGGAAGAACACCTGGACAACATATATCTGGTCAACTTGTAACATATCTGACTATTTCAGAATAGGACTGACTGAGGATTAGTAGACTACTATTTGATTATAAAGAGTACGTGTAAAAAGATGGCTTTTCTGTTTATCTAATCATCTCAGTTGTTGAAAAGAAATAGAGTCAGCTCTTAACCTGAGGTATTCCTCTTACATGCATAGCCACTCCTACTTATAACCTCAAGGCTGGAATGTTCGAAAGAGCAAACACTGATGCCTCTGGAGTAGCCTAATAGTTATGCTTGGAAAGTAAGACATTATTTTTTGGAACATGAACTCAAATTTAATAACTAAAATTGTGCCTTATAACAATATCTGTTTGTTACCATTGGGACAAAAAAACAAGATGATTTTCAAATTCTGTAAATTATCTGTGAACATAATTCACTCTCTAATTCCCTGTCCAGCTAAAAAAACACATACAAAACAACACTTGAGAGTATACCTTAATTCATAAACAAGGATCTGTTTCGGAAGGAATCAATAAAGCAATCAAAATATGTAAAGCCTATACTAATAATATAATGGAAACAGAAAGGCAGAATAAATCCTTCATAAGCATCCAAGTTGTAAATATGCACATATGTAGGTTTAATTTATTGTTACGCAAAATAACATTAAATAAAAATATGACCCAGTCAGTTAAGCAACTGAAGGCAGGCTTTTGTACTGATAGTTCCTGTAGCACTACACTAACTATAGCTTGGATAGCTGAAACCACTAAGTTTATTTATTCTACCACATTTACCTAGTCCTAATGTGTCATTAGGCCATATCTAAACTGTTTTGATTTACTGGCAATCACAGATGGAAAAAGAACATAGATTGTACAAAGAACAACACCAAAAACTGCTAGTTTGAGGTGCTGTCTTAAAATGAGCAGGGGGTAATGTTGTTTGAGGCTACTGTCAGAGCAAGATTAATTAGCTTAATCCGTCTTAATATTCTGTCTGCCTTGTGAGCCACCACAACCTTCCTGGCAGGTGAAGATACTTCCAAGGGACGTCAAAGGCTTTTTTCTTTCTCTAATGGGAGATAGAATACTCAAAATGCTCACATTGATACTGCTGCAGCCATTAACTAGAGTGGAACAGAAATTGGTCTGCTGAGGCCAGATTCATTAGTCACCAGAAATACAGACTGAAGCCTCTAATCTAAGTTACAAATGAATCCTCTGTCACAAAGCAGGAAACCGCTTCATTTGCATAGTGTAAGTCGGCTTCTGATTGGTAATGTAAGGAGTTTTATTAGTCTTATCTGAACAGAGAAAAGTCATTTGTGACGTGCTGAAAATGACACTGGTCAGAAATTAAGGCCATGCTGAAATTTACTATGTATACACTGATGGCATGACTTTATGAATCTGAAACACTCCTTATTTATTACCATTAGTACTTTTCTCATGGAATCAAAATGATCATTAGTCTCATCCTATTCCTGAAGTAGTCTCTCCCTGCCAAAGAAAAAAAGCTATTCTCTTCCCACTGAAATGTATGTCCTGGGCAACATCCCAATTATTACATTTAACACATTAACAAATAACTTTAAGGTGAACTGAAACTTCAGTATGACAAATTCTATACTCTTTAGCAGTTATTTCTTTGTCCCGGTTAAAAAGGCTAAAGAGGGGCTTTCAGAATATTACTACCTGAAAACAGACTTTCCCACCACCTTTTCTTATAAAGTTCGAAGATCTTTATAAGAAACTTAGTAAGTTTATTAGTAACAAGTCTACTAGTAACTTGTGGGATGCCATCCTTTTTTTCTAGACCTTGCCAAAAAATAGAAGCCACAGCTTTCGAATAACCTCTGTTCTACAAAACTTCTAAGTTCTTTGTTGTTTTGTCACATATATAAGAATTAGATTTGATTTATTAGTAATATGGTCCTTAGATGAGCAAGATTAGAAAGTAACTCCCACCCCCCAAAAAAGAACACTTAAAATTTAGAATGAAACAAAAATGCAATATGGCATTATTATTCTGACCTATCACACAGAACTAGCATGGCATAATTCTACTGTTAGCCTCACTCAGCATTTTTCCTATTACTTAGATTTTCCCGGGAGAAAAACTGGCTGGAACAGACAAGGATTCTCAGCCAAATGGTGGCTTTCTGTTCAGATCAGCCTGAGAAATACCAACATATAACACATGTCGATAGCACAGTCACATTATTCATATATCATTTCTAGTAACCCTTCCCGATATCAACTTGGTTCTAGAAATGACTGAAAAATTTCAGGACAAAGCCTATTTTATTTAAGAGTATACCACAGATAAGAAAGCAGTGACGTTTTCATGCACATACATTGTGACTATACAGTCTTTGATAGGATAAACTGCCAAGACTATATCATAGCTGTGTTACTACTCAAGTTGTTTTTTTAATCCACAGAGATGACAGCCGAAAACAAGGAGACTATATAATTAGTTTCCAATTCAGAGGGTATTTCATTAAAATTCTTGTACATTTGGATAAACTGGAAAAACAGCAAAAATTATAAAAAATTATTTGCTTATTCTGAGAGTAATATACCTGTGAGAAGCCAACATTTGTACAGCTGATATGGGGCACATTATATAATTATCAAAGACTGAAATACATTGGATCATGCAGCAAGATGATAAAGCGTGGCAGGTAGCTGAAGGAGGGAGAAAGCAGGGTGACAGCACAGGAGAGATACCTTAAGGTAAGCCCTGCATGTCTTCTCTCGTTTTTGGAGCTTTTTAGTAAAAGAAAAGAAAATCACAGGTTAGATTTTAACTGTTGAAAACGAGGAAAGAAGAAATCCTCAAAAATTTAACTGGTGCTCCTGAGCTCAGATTTTATTGGCACCGGAGACTTCTGAATTCCGTGGGTCTGCGCTGACTGCCAAAATTGTGCACTTACAGGGTTTAACTGTAAGTTACTAAGTACACTAATCCAAAGTATCCTGATAAAACTAGAGACATAATATGTGGTCAAAAGAAAAAAATGACTATTTTTTTTCACCCTATAAAACCATGTTAGCCACAGATTGTGGATTTATATGAATCTCATCGAAACACTTATAGTATGGTTAAAATAACCATTACATTTTTGGCATGCTATGAAAAATTAATAGTACTATTACACTTTACTCCTAGAGAGGGAAAACTTGTTCTTCCTCCCAAAACCTGCCACTAACAGTATTTCAGTGGCTAACATTCCTCTTCCTGTCACAATTGTGTTGCAACCCTAAGAGTATACAAAGTATGTGTTCTAGAACACAGTCTCTACACAGAATCTCTCCAAGTGCACTGAATGCATTCTAAAGTGAGACTCCTGACCAGAAACAGGCACGTGAAGTTTGCCAACAACTAAGGTCACCCCTCAGATAATTAACTTTTTATTGTTGTTGTTACTGCTCCTTCCACAACTATCATTCTTCCTTGGGACATGAACCAGAGAAGTTTCATTTTTAAGTATATGTCCAAGGGGCCAGAAGTTTGGCAGTCAACTGCTATTAGGATCCAGAGCTGCCATACACAATGCCTAACTGAATAGAACAGAAAATGCCTACTTACCTTGTTATAACTCCGTCCAGCTGAATCTTTTTCGCTAGGTTTCAGTTCCTGCAGCTGTGCATCAAGAATGTCCACCAACTGCTCCATCAATCTCACTGAAGAACTCACATCCCCAGCAAACACCGGCCCTTTGGTATGTTTAGCCAGTTCATTGGCAAGACTAGCGGCGTTTTCTCCACTTCTAATCTGAAACGCCAATTTATAGTATCTCAGTAAGATTTCTTGTTCTGTTCCTGGCTTCTTGTTCTTCTCCTGAGTATCTTTGTTGTGGTGAAAAACTTACTTACAAATGTGTCAAAATCTGCAACTAATTGAGACCAATAACGTTCACTTTATTTCAGATGATGAAAGGTTCTTAGATCCTCAGCACACAAAAGAAATTCTTAACCAGACATTTAAAAGAAACAAAAGGAGGAAAGTTGGGGGTGGGGGTGGGGGGAAAAAAAACAGAAATCCTTTGCAAAAGTTTCAGATAGCTCTCTCATTTCACTGCAACCATTTTAAACTGTTATTTCAAAATCATTTATTTATCCCAATGATCCAGAAATTTAAATCAGAACATAATCAGTAGGACACTGAGTGTTATTATCTACTGCTTGCACTTCACAAAGGTAGATGGGAAAGGAGAAACTAAAATGTTACTGTATTCCACTATAATGTAAAATATTTTTAGTTATATTCTACTGTAAATATTTTTACTCATTCTATCATAATCATCTGTGATATAAACATCTGCTCACATTCTGTGGATTCAGTTGCAAACATAATGATATTTGATTTATTAGGCCAATGCACTATTTGTCTTACAAACATCAAAAGGAGCAGAACTAACTAAATATGATTGAAATTAAGCAAGTATGTACTCATTAAAAAGCTTAACAAAGAAAACAGCATGCCTCAAAACATATGTAACTTTGAATAAATAGTTTACAGACAGAGCTATGCATAATTTTTTTTTCTTTACTTTTATACTGAACAAAGAGTCATGAAGCTGGTTTTAGCATACAAAGCTAAGTTATTTATGTTAGAAGTTAAAGCCCTTAATCACCAATATGTATCATATTAAAAGGTTCCAACCAACCTTCTGAGCCAGCTGATTCACCCAGTGTGAGGTACAGTTGCTAAGATCAGGGCCCTTAGGGTTCCATGTTCCAGTGGAAGCCATGCAGAGATACGAGGCAGTTCCTATAGCAGATGTAGAAAACAACAGTGAAATTGAAACCATTTTTCTGCACGCATTCGGGAAATCAGCTAAGATGATCCTACCCTGCGTGCTCAATGTTGAATAAATGCTAATGGAAGGAGCTGACAATAATTGACAAAAAAAGTAGGGTAAAATGTGGTCTATAAACAGTAAATATAAAGTCAGCATAGAAATATCAGACATTTCCAACAAACAACAAAAAGCCCTTGATTTTCTTGGGACTCATCCAAAATGATACTTGTAATGAAAAAGGCAGCTGTAAGGAATGCTCACTAGGATCCATGGGCAAAGATCTCAGGCTTGACCTAAAACTTTAAGAGGGAGAGGTAATTAAGGATCTGACCTTCAGTGATTTTTTTACAGTTGTCTACAGATGCTGTATTACTAAAGGAACAAGAATAATAACATTTGCTACTGTAAATATATCCTTCCTCAAGTAAAAATCACTTCAGTGCGATTCAGAATCTACCTAAAGTAAAATTTTAAACGTATCTATAATATTTTACAGGAAATACCTCTTGTTCCCTTGGGACATGGCCGTTCAACCATCGCTCCCCTGTGGGTCTGAGGCCACCATATCCCCCTGGCATCTAATGCTTCGCAGAATCTCTCTGGCAGGGGAAAAATATTTGTTACAGGAGGAATTTTGGTTGTAGAAACTGCTGGAGGTGGTTTTGTCCCTTTGCTTCCTTCCTGGGATCCAGCTACAGTTGTGCTCATGGGGCCTTTCGGTGAAGTAGTGCTTGTGGTTGATACTGTGGTTTTGAACAGCTCAGCTGAAGAAGTTATTGTCACAGCTGTGGTAGGCACTATGGAAAAAAGATGAGCATGTTAATGCTCAAACACGCACATTCACATACAGGCACACATGTGTCTACGCATGCACTCACAAAAGCCCACTCATCCAACTACCCCAAGACCAACAAGATGAGCATTATTGAGAACATCAGCAGTAGGGAAGAAAAATAAACCTTTTCAATTATTCCAATTTATTCATATTGTTGGCTAAGTGGAGGCAGTTTGGGCCTTATGATAGATTTTACTGTATGACTCTAATTGTGTTAGGTTTACTTCTCAATGAAATATTTGACAATATAGCTTAAGTATAATTTCATCATATATCATGTAACAGGAAACAGACAGTTTTATATAAAGTTTCAAAGTGCAAATGCACTGTCACTACTAAATAACTTAGAAAAAGTGTTTTCTTGTATAAATCCATACTCTATAAAACAATCAAATTCAGAGTATCAACAAAAGTCTGACCAATTACATATAAATAGGACAACAGAAAATTTAGTCACCCACTCTGCATCTTGCAGGAACATAAATATGGTGACATCTTTCTACCCAGCAGCCAATCTGGCTTGAGAGATTTTTGAGCATGCCTGATCAGTCCCAAACAGAAGATAAATTTGGTATGTGGGTGCTATTTTAGTAAGGAAACATCCAAGGCTTTAGTTTCTTTACTTTTGAAAACATAGGTATGAAAAAACAACTAGTCTGGCAAGAGAAATGAAATCTCTCATCAAGATAACAGGTTAGATCAATTCATGCCTAATTCAAAACCAAATGTCATTGCATTCCACTGTATCTTACTGACCCTTAACAGGAACTAAAGGAACGACAGTTACACATTTAAAAGTAAAAATTTACAAAGAAGTTTTTTTTGTTTTTTTGTTTTTTTTAAAAAAATATATTTTATTGATTTTTTACAGAGAGGAAGGGAGAGAGATAGAGAGTTAGAAACATCGATGAGAGAGAAACATCGGTCAGCTGCCTCCTGCACATCTCCCACTGGGGATGTGCCCGCAACCCAAGCACATGCCCTCGACCGGAATCGAACCTGGGACCCCTCAGTCCGCAGGCCGACGCTCTATCCACTGAGCCAAACCGGTTTCGGCATACAAAGAAGTTTTTAAAAGGATATTTTTTGACTTCCAACATTACTTTCAGACTGTGAAATCCAGTAGGTTAAAAAATTAATGGAGCTTATGTGTTCTTCATTAACTACCATTTAAATGGGTTAAACAATAATAAAAAGTCTGTCAGTAAAACTTTAATACTATCTTTGAAATCTATTAGGTGATCACACTAAAATTTTATCAACATTTATACTTACTGGCTCTTATAAGGTTTTAAGATAATGCTTAAATTTAAATTGTTTAGAGTACAGCAGATTAAAACTATTTTTTCAAATAATCTTATAAAAATTAACTTATTTTATGCTTTATCTATACATAAGAAACAAACCAGAACATTAAAACTTATTAGAAAACTTATTATTACCTTGTTTAGTATTTTAAGCTCTGGTCAATAAATAGTTGTTTATACAATTCTGATACTAGGGACAGAGTATGCTAAGTTTATCAGAAACACTTGTTTCTAGACCTTTAGCAGGGACAAATTTCCTGTTACCAAGAAGTTCACTACACACTTTCTATACCTTTTTTCCCCTTCTATAACAAGACAAACTTCCTTTAAACATATGTTTTGTTTCCAGGGCATAATGTATTGACCATGAGAGATGCCTGTGTACATTAGTCAAACATCAGCAGCGGCAGAAACCTATTCAAACCCGTCTATCTTTTTCTGCAAAGCACTTGCCTGGCATCTTGTTAAACCTCTGTAATTTTCTTTTGATTACAATGCAGCCAGGCTTTCAGTGCTTTCTCAATTAACATTTGTCAAAAGCATTACGATCTTTTGCAGAGTGTCAAATGACTGCTGCTGGATCCAATTTTAAAGGGGAGTGGAGAATCGGAGCAAAAAGAGAACAGGGCAGAGTAAAGTGGTTTCATGCTACACCATCTTATGTATCCCTCAACACTATACTAATTAGGGCATATTTCATCACTGAAATACGTATCAACAATACTACAATTAGTGATCTGAAAGATTCATAACATCCGAGTGGAGGTAGATAATAAAATGACCTCTATTAAAATATATAAAATTCCATGCAACATTCTATATCCTGTTTCCATGTGTCTTTTGATAATTTTCGTACCTTTTCACTTTTTGTTCATCAAAAGAAGGTAGTTCAAAGGAAATCAACACATTATCAAAGGCAAATCACTAAAATATTGGGACATTGTGAAAATAAACATGAAAGTAAACTTCAAGTGGCAAAATCAAACCTTTTAGGAGGACTACTAGAATTTCTGGGATTTTTCAAGGACAAAGTTTAGCAATTTCAAGGAAAGTAATTTTTTGTAAGGCTGAAGTTAGAAATGCTGAGGCATTTCTAAAGATGAATATTTCTTTCCACAGGTGAAGACAGGGCATCAGATAATGATAAAAGCTTACACTTATTCAGCATTTATGTACCAGACACTATGTTAATCAGCCTTCAAGGATCATCAGATCACCTTAGTTAATCCGTACCACAACCCCAATGAAGTAGGACTATGATTATCTTCCTTTTAAAGATGTGGAAACTGAGCCATAGAGAAGGTTAAACAGTTTGTTCAAGGTCACTTGTCCATACCCTTAAATGTCATGATCTTAACTTTTCTAGGTAAAAGATTTTCACAGACGCTGGAAAAGCATGGCATCTGCCCTTATTTTGGAGCATGTACCTGACACTGCTCTGTGTAAATCTCTAAAAGAAGAAAATATGTGGGAAGGATAGTATAAGATACTGGAGCAATAGACTACAAAGTTTCATACTGAAATTCATGTGGCAAGAGGTTCAAAGCTCTAGAATAGCCTACAAATGATAGCAGAAAACAAGGCAAACTTCATGCCCAGCCGCTGCTGCAGAAACCTATTCAAACCCGTCTACCTAATCCAAACCCTAATATACAGAGCTTCATCCCAGTTATTAGGATGCCACAGCAAGACCCTGAACTGATGTAGCATTCTGCCTACTGTTATCATTTGAGAGACCTAGAAACGGTGCTAATAAAATGCTAATAAACATACTTAATAGGAACCCATGAAGATTTTGACAAGCACATATAGAATGGTTCAATGTATTACGGTGGTGTCTACTAAGGACTTGCTATTTATCACTGGCTTTTTCCTGCATGAAAAGATTTAAGGACAATACCCATTTAAGCGAAGGGGAGCATTTCCATCATCTAGGTCCAAGAACTAACCCATGATTCACTAAAGGTACTCCAGCTAGCGTGAGTCTATAGCCCGGTAAGGCAATACTAATGTATTCATTAAATTTACCCTATTTAATGTTTAAAAACAGTGGGCATCTTTATTTGAGAGCATTCATTATCAGTGGGAAGATGTTTCAAGAAATATGCATTTTATGCTAAACACTTCCTAAAAAAATAATAAACCTAACTCTCTTGATAAAAATTTCCCCTCATATTATTGAAGTGTCGTACTTCATAATTAGAGTAATTATTCAAGAGCTGTCAAAACCCAAGACACAGTATTTTTTCGATAACATTTAGGATATCAAATTTGCAGTTAGATTATGTAAATATAGAGCAATTCAGATTAGGAAACAGAAAAGAGTTAAAATAAGACTGAAATGGGATTTTCCTAAGCCCACGTTAGGAAGGAGGAAGGTGAAAGGAAAAATAGACCTAGTTTAGGTAAATGGAGCAAATGAACTATGCAGAGATCACAGAAAGCTAAAACTCAAAGAAAAGAAAAAGAGGAAAGATTTATTCAAAAACCATGATCACGACAAAGAAATAACATACGTGTACTGTGAGAAACAAAAGAGCTTGGATTTATAAATGGGAAAAAGTACTGACGCTAATACACTATGAAGCAGTCCACAATGAAAAATGAAAAGAATGAATAATTTTACAGCACAGTGTATGCCGTGGTGACACACATCGTGGCAAATCCAGTACATAAGACTGAGTTTCAGCCAAGCCAGTCAATCACTGCTTTGTATAACAGGCAAAGACCTGATCTCTCATTGCTCTGTCCCATCCGTTTCTCGGATCTTGCTTCTGGAAAGCTGACAGTGGCTTATTGGTTTGACCTAAATTTATGGGCCAGAACAGTTCTGCAAGGCCCCATCCAGCTATCAGCACACATCTTGGATGAGAGAGACTGGAGGCTCTCTAAAAGCATATAAAGATAAATTATAAAAATAGAGACTAACAGAATATGATTCAAACAGCAGCAAGAAAAATGTAGGTCAGATAAAACTTTTTACCACTAAGGGTTTTTTAAAGGGCCAATATGAATTTTGACTTTCTGGAAATATTTAAGAATGGCTATTTTGGATAGCAAAACACAGTTGTAGGAACACAGTTACCAAATATGTCTAAGCTTCTCATTTTCAACGCTGGTAACTGCTCTTTCTAAAAAGCATCTAAATTATCAGACTTTTTCATCTGAAATGGATCAAAATATTCACTAGAATATAAGCCACATGTAAAAATAATATTACTCATCTTGTATTCACTGAGTATTTTTTGTGACAAGTAGACAGGGCAATCAATTAGTCTCTATTAACAATCCTTCAGGTGTTGCCTCATGATGAATTTACATTTTTTAAAAATTATTTTCTTATTTTTCTAATGGAGAGAAGAGATTTACTACCACCCAACACAAATGGAACAGCTCTGAGGGTAGTACAGGTTACAAAAAAGGTTACCACAAGTATCAATACAATGTCAAATTTTGTCAATTCCTGACATTTGCCTTTTACAAACCTATAGGATAAAGGGGAAGCATGGTCCTAGCTTTTAGGGAAAAAAAAATGAAGATTTCATTGTAGAGCATGTGACAACAGTCATTACTGCTATCATTTTAAGCCAAAAAATTCTGGACATACATTAATTAGAGAAAAAGGGGCCTTGTACTAAGTCAATGTCATTTTTGCTCTTATGAATAAAAATCACATCACAAATTTTGTTGTTCTGAGACTCAAAAATTCAACTGCAAAATAAATAAATAAAAACACTGGTGGAGAAATTGAGACATCAAAGGGCACATAATAATTCAGGCATACAGGGCTCACAAGAACCTTTTCCATTAATAGCTTGTATTCCATTATAATGTGAGCCAATGTGTTGGGTAGCCCCTGCCTTTCTACATAACTATTTGCATCAGACTGTTACTGTAAGTATGATAGCAAATAGCCTGTAAGGAATATTTCTTGTCCCAGTTCCAACAATCATTGAATCAGACAGCCATTTGATGCAGATTTCAAAGCACTGTGACGCAAATCTTACCTTCTAGTACAAAAGACACCTTCACACAATTAACTGATGTCTCATTCAAACTGGTATTTGAAAAACTGATTCTCAGCAAACCTTATTATTTAACTAGAGGCCTGGTGCACGACATTCACGCACTGGGGGGTGGGGAGGGGGTCCCTCAGTCTGGCCTGCACCTTCTCACAGTCTGGGACCCCTTGGGGGATGTCCGCCTGCTGACTTAGGCCTGCTCCCTAGGCCTAAGCCGGAAGTTGGACATCCCCTGAGGGGTCCTTAGTGCTGCCGCAGAGGCGAGAGAGGCTCCTGCCAGCATTCTGTGCTCGCCAGCTGTGAGCCCGGAGGGGGGGAGGGGGGCAGCTCCTGCGTTGAGTGTCTGCCCCCTGGTGGTCAGTGCACATCATAGTGACCAGTCATTACACTGTTTGGTCGATTTGCATATTAGTCTTTCATTATATAGGATATGAGGTCTGACTTTCCTAAACTAACAAACAAAGCCTTAAAGTTATTAATCTTTTTCCTACGAATCACTTGCATGTACAGAAATTCTCTGAACCAGCACTGCTAAAGTTAAAAATGTAAGTTAAATGTAGGACTAGATCTCAAGTTGGTGTTTCTACCAGGAATCAGGAACTTGGGCTTTAGCAAACACCACCATCCACTCAATATTATGAATCATATTGATATTTTGAATAGTATCAGTTTTGAAAGTGTAAGGACTATGTGTGCAATGTTATGTGTATATTAGTATATAATAATAAAAAGAGTATATGACAACAACAACAAAAGTTAAACAATAAAAGGCTATGACTTCTGTTTTTGAGGTTCTGATCCCATAACAATATTTATAACTTAGTATATCCTAAACTATGTGGGGTATATATATATATAAGTATGTGGATGTGTACTGCTTTAACAGAAGAAAAAAATATTAATTTCTGATCCACCTTGAAGAGTTTGATTTAATCATTCCAAAGAACAGTCTGGCTCCTAAAATTTTGAAGTTACTCAATAATGTGAGAATTCCAATTAACTCAGTAAACTGAAACATTAATTCAGAACTTTAATACACAAATATTGTTCAAATAGAAGACTCATTAGTGCAAGCTCTATAACTTTTATCGTGAGGATGAGTACAAATATTGTTCAAATAGAAGACTCATAATTAGTGCAAGCTCTATAACTTTTATCGTGAGGATGAGGTAATCTTGTTTTAATAAAATATTCATTTAATTCAACCTAAATAATTGTTTCCCACAGAATTCAATTCACTTGATAAACTAAAGTATATTTCCCAAGATTTAGCATTACTTCCTGAAGGATGAATCTCCATAAGGTTACCTGAAGATAACACATAAAAATATTAGCAGATAACATCTTTATAAAATATCACTTGGAATCATGTAATGTTTTGTCCACGGTGACAGTTGAAGTCACAGAAATATTGACTTAAAACCATTACTAATTTACCAGGAAATAAAAATGGATGATTTTTACATGATCTAGGAAGCTATTGGATGACTCCCTCTCCTGCACAGAGACCAGACTTCAAAACACTCACTTATGCCTGGAGTGTACATCAAGCCTCGCAATTCTCCTGGGACTTCCTAACACTTATTCCCCTTACCCACTGGCGCCAAGAAGTTAAAAGGTCTGCACATAGATTGTAATCAATTCAGAAGTCAGGGAGGAAAAAAACAAAGCTAACAGGTTTGTTTGTAGCTGGTATTATATTTTTAGCAGTGCCCAATGAGGCTACAATTTTCTGAAGCCAACATTTAAGTGAAGAAATTGAGGGGGATGTGGGGGGGTGGGGAGAGGATGGACTAAAATAAAACTAAAATGTATATACTATGAAATAACTTTAAATGCTACATTATTCTTTGTGCTTTAACTATGAAAAGGGGGAGAAAATAAACGGGAAAAATTAAAAAGTCTTTTACAAATACGCTGTTCACAAGAGACATATCTACATTAGCAAGCAAACATTCTCACCTTGGGCAGGATCAGGTGGACCAAACTCCAGAGAATATCGTAGAATGAAGTTATTGTTCCACACGTAGAGCTGGTTATCTCTGGGATTGTAATCCACTGCAGCGATATACTGGTACTGGTTGGGGAAGGGGACATCTACATATTCTCCTCGGTTTAATCGGGTATTGTAGATGTAGTCAATGGCGTTCTTGCCTGTTTCACTCTCATTGTCTTGATAAACTGACCTGACCACGTACAGGACTCCGCAGATCATAAAAGCATTCGATGCAGCACGTTTGTCGTACACAGTCTCCCACGTTGCTTCAAATCGCAGAGTGTATGGATTCAGTTGGCTAATAACTATCATTCCATTGTTCTGTTCAGTGGCATAGATGACCCATAAGCCATTTTCATCAACTGCTAGGTCGATATCAGTCTTTCCTCCCCATCTATACGGTGAGGTATCATGGTAGTTGGCATAGTTAATTATGGCCTCTCCACTCTTAATTCTAGTCCTCAAATCAAATTTCACAATATTCCTCGTTCTTTCTTTGTTAAAGAAGACAGCACCATCATATACCACAAATCCAGTACCATCTACTCGATTTGGAAGTTTGTATGTTGTTGTTTGGCGACTGTTTTGGAAATCTTCTATAGAAGCATATTCTATTAAAGTATCGGTACGATAGGGAGTCCAGGGCATGAAATAAATTTTATCTGCGGCCTGAAGAGGGTCCTTGCACCAAGCACCTGCCTTTTGCTCAGCTTCATATATACATGGTGAGTCCACAATTGCTTTCAAGGTCCCAGGGCACACAAAAACTAGCAGTCACAGAGAAGAGACAAGAATTAAGCCAAGTTAAAAAATTACATAGGTAAACACAACTTTTAAGGATCATAAATCAAAAGGGAAAAAAATCATTTAATTAACATTCTAATTTTCCAAAGTGTATCCTTAAAACAAAGTACTGCCCTTCTTCCCTCAAGTTCCCATAATCAATGCACCAGCACACAGAGTGGTTGGGGCTTGTTTTCACACATACGAAGCTACGTTTAAGACCATTCATAATTGAGCATTTACGTTTTTGTTACGTGTTTTTATTTGATAATATGGTAATTTATGCTTTTAAACTTGAAGCGTTAGTGCACAACAGTGTACAAAATACTTTATTTTAAATCAAACTTCCCTGGCCCCCTTATAAGCCCCCAAACCCTCCCCTTCCCTGGCCCACTTATGAGCCCCCAAAACCCCAAAGCAAAATAAACAAAAAAGAACAAAAAACCCCAATGTGAAGCCTTGTTTAGAACTTTTACAGAGGTTAGACTGAAAACAAAGGAGCTTCGATTGAAGAAACATAAATATTCGGAAAATGCAATTAGGAGCAGAGAAAAGTAAATACAAGGAAAGCAGTGATGAAGCAACCAGGATACCCTGTAACCATGGCATGCTATGGAGAGGGTTCTGGAAACCAGGCAAGATGGCACTTTAATAATAAAATATCCAAGGGTGTCAGAAAAAAGAGATATAGGGTGAAAAAGGACAGTTCCCCCTCGCCGACTTCAGAATTTTTATTCCATCACCAGATTTAGCAGTCACATAATCTCATTGTTAATAGTCGACTTCTCTAGGAGGTGCACTTATGAGATCCTGCCGATTACTTTAATGTCAGGAGTATTGCAGGGGAAGGGAAGGGAGGAGGTAACATCCATAAGGCACATAACAGGGAGCTGGGGTTCAGACTGTGTACGTTATTTACCTTTTTGCTCCACTTCTATTTTAAGCATCGGAAGAAAAATAAAAAGAGTGCAAGGAAAAAAGAAAAAAGATTAAAATAAATTGACTATTAGTCTAAGACTGAATTCGTAATAGATGCTAAATATAGGAAGAATAAGAGCTGCACTACTTTGGATAAAGAGAAACACACAACAGGAAAACCTAGCAGGAGAAAGATTCTAAAGTTACATAAAAAAACATGGATCAATCATTTTAATAGATTAAGGAGGCAATACAAATATGTTGGCATGTTGCTTCACTTAGTGTACCTGAATAAATAATGAAATTCTTCACTAATGCATGGTATACATACTCTTGCCTTTGCAAAGTCACTCAGCATTCTTATCAAGTTTTACTTTTGTATGTACGCTATAGACACAAATGCATGCATAGGTGTATCATGACCATATATCCTATCATGTGAATTCAAATTACATTGACTAAAATGAGGTTAAGCATAATAACAGCAAAATATAGTTATAAAAAATTACAACTCAATTTTGGAGCTTAGGTCAAATTTAATGAATGTAGATATTGCTCCATTTTAACATTTTTCAAATATGTTTATATAACACGAAATATATAATTATGCATCTCAGTACATGTTGTAACTGTTTTTCCATTATTTTCTATTTCTACAAATATGCATCTGAACCATAAAAAAACAATGCCTCCTTTACAGGAATATACAAATTTCCCCCATCTATCCCAATAGGGATTTTGAAGGGTGGGGTATGGTAATGCATTTCTTTTCCACTATTAGTAAATTTAAGTATAAAAACTATATTATACTCCATAATATATAATTCTTATTAAATTCTCTATAACACATATCTCAAGTTGTAATACTAAGACTATTAAAAAAAAGTAAGCAAAATACATACAAGGAAAAAGCAAGCACAGTAGGCAAGGAGAAAAAGGAAGAAAGAATTATGGTTAGCTCATTATGACATTGTCTACCATCATTAATTTACACAGAAAGCAAGCTCGCATGCAACAACAATCATACCAAGCATTCAAAGCAAATACCTTGACTCCACAGACCCCAGAAAAGGTAAATGCTTTCATAAAACAAACCTGATTAGTACAGTGATAAGCGAAAAAAATCCTCCCTCCAAGAAGTTTAAAGAAATGGATTATGCAGTTAAAGAAGGCTGCTACATGACATTCTTATTGGTAAATAGTATTCTAATAATTACAAACCACAAAGCACTATTTTAGATTGTATGTAGGCTTTGAAGTATGTTGCCTGAATTTCATAAAGTGTTCAGATTAATGTCTCTGCTGCTGCTGCTTCCCTTATTAAAATGCATTAGGGTGTGCTAGGACTTTATCTCCAAACTGATTACTCAAAGATACTGTAGTTGCACATTTCATTAAGATGTCTTAACTTGATTAATTTCTTAAACTTATAATAATTCAAGATTAAATACTGACCTCCTGAAATACCTTAGGGAGAAACATCACACTAATATTTTTGGCATAAAAATAGCATACTCCTTCCACATTAAGCTACCACCCCCCAACCCCATCCAACTTGGTGTATTAAACTACTTTCAGGAAACATACTTGCTCTATAATGTGTAATTCTGACTGCATCCGGTAAAAAGAAGAAATTAAGTGTTACTGACATGAAAAACTTTTTATAAACCACTAGTCCTAAAATTACTCCTCAGTGAAGAACAATATTATACCTGCTTGGAATCAATAACGAAGGGCGTGGTGGGAAAATGAGGATAAGAGAAATCATTAGTGTTGTGACTGCTCAGACTTATATTTTTATACAGCTATATTCTTTTAGAAAAGGAGGATTTTACTGAAATAAATCGATTACATTGAAAGGATGGGAATAATACACTTTAAAATATGTTACATACTTAAAATAGAACTTAAAACAAGTTCAATAAAGGATGTAGAAAGTATATTTCATTTTCTATTAATTGAAAATGGAAGAGTTTTATTATCAGATAAATTAAACTGACAGTGCAGTTATGAGTAAAATATTAAATAGGGAGGCTTTGTTTGTGATTTAACTGACATACTTATATTAAAAAAATAGAATGGGTATAGGTTGTATCTAATTTATAATTCTGATGAAAACTGAGAATATCCAAAGATAAAGATAAAAAAATAACTAAATAAAACCTTTGGTGATTAATGAATCAAATAAGATATGGATATTTAAAACAAATGTCCTTACATTATAATTTTTATGAAAATCCAAAGCACAGGTATATGTCAAATCGGTACATTAAAATTCCTCAACCCAGAATAATACAAAATCACAATAAAATTAATGAAATTGGCATTAATTAGCATCTTCACATGCCTAATATATATGCAACTTGTCTTGAGACTGTGTGAATTAATTCATAATAATATGTTTACTATTCTATAGACCAAACAAACATAAATACATGGCCAACTAACATCAGTGGAGGACTACATGGATATGGAACACAAATTTACCCAAGCAAACTAACGCCTATATACTCTGTAACTGAAGTGACACACTATTTTATTTTGAATAATCTCATGTTTACTCATTAATAATGACTTAGTTAACAGTAATGGTTATTTTTTCATCAAATAAAACTTGTAGCTAAAATTATGAAATCACTTTTATAATTTAGTGATAATCTGAAACAATATAACACAAAAATTAATGCCAAATTCTGCCTACAGAATATGAATTTCCAATCTGATTGTCTCCTTTATCCTACAAGATCCTTATGAATTATTTTAAACAAATACATTCAATTACTAACACATCTGCTAAGGATAAAGAATGCCCTGTGTACATATATTTTTGACATAGACATTATCTAGGATTATATGTCAGATATAATATATATGCCTGTCTGTAAACATGCAAAATAAAACAAACAGGTTTTCTAATGGACTCTGTTGAGTAAATTAATTATTAAACTTTCAGAAGAATGAAAAATTTTCTGAATAGCTTTTTAAAGAGGGGAGAATAGTATGGGATATATAAGCTCCTGGAGAATTTGCTCTGGATAAAAACTGCCATAAAGCAAGATGGTAAGGAACACATAATAAATATTACCTAATGGTGACAATTTTTACTAACTAAGTATAGTGTAAAGGTTATGCAAATAGTACAAGTACTAAAACAAGGAGAAAATAAAAGTTACAGGCTTAAAATAAAAGCAAGTGTGAAGGATGGGTACTATGAACAGAACCATAAAGAAACAAAAGAACTGAGGCACAGAGAACAATCTAAAAAGATCAGAACAATCTAAAAAGATCCTTTGGTTTATATTTTCATAGTAGTCAAAATCATGCAATTGATAGTGTGTCACTACTGTACGGTATATAGAAGTTATAATTACATCAATTCTTTACAAGAAATGGTTTTAAAAAAGCCACAGACTTATTTCTGCCTTGTGCAAACTTCTAGAAAGGTAACAGCAAATTAATTCCCATGTTTTATTTAAAGGACAAAAACTAAAAAGAACCAATACTTCTCTGAGGATAGCTAATTGCAAGTTTAGTGCACAATGTAAAATAGTTCTGGAGAACTGAAAAAGTAAAATTTTGAAAGTTAGACGTTCCAGAAGATATCCACTTTTCCCCTTTCTTACACAGCGCAAGAAATAACTTCAGTCTGAAAATAACATTTGCTTCACTCTGTTCTTGGTCTACAGACTAGGGTATGGGAACAGGCTCCAGAAAGAAACAATTCTTGGCAGCTCTGACTGATTCCACTGTTTGGGGATGGATGTTGTATTCCTTCTCTAATGTGAAGACAGAAACCATGCTAAATTCAAGTGAACGTGACTTCATGGAACAAAATTCTGGTTAGCTTAAAAGAACACAGTGTTCCTCTAGTGGCACAGGAGAATGAGTATGTGAGCCACCAACACTACACACGGGAGAAACGACATCAAGATCAGTGCACTCAGTGGGCTTCCAATCCTACAAATGGTATAGAAAATACTGAAAACATAAAAAGCATCCATTTCACAGTAACACGGGAGCACAGAGCAGGAATGAAAAGAAAAAGATCATCTGTGTTTGGCCTTTAACTGATACCCCACAAAAAGCCAATTTATCAAAACTGTGGGTAGAAAAGAGAGCGACAGCGCCTTCACACAATGTAAGAATGCATTGCTATTGTATTGGACACAGTACATCTATTAGAATTTGGCCATTTGGTTATAGAAATACTGATGGTTTGGATGTAGGAATCTGTCAGAACTAGTGATCTAGTTTTGGAGGTTCTGGAAAAAGTAATTTCATTATTTAATTGGAATCCGATGATTTTTTTTTTCCTGGAGGAAAGTGTACCAAAACTATCTCAAATGAATAAAATTGCTGCTAATGAACTTTTAATTCAAATTCCTATGAAATGAGGCAACATGACACTTTTTTTTTTCAAGTTAAAAAGTAATGAATACAAGAACATTTTCAAACAAACTAGCTTATGAAAATTAGGTAATAAACTAAAACTTTTTAGTTGTCCAAAATGTACAAGGAAAGTATAGAATACAATTTAGAAGTATAAATTTTAAGGTTTGGAGGAAAACTGTACAGAATTAGAACATTAGCTGACTCCCACTTAGGGCATTTCCAATTGAATTTTAAATATCCCTTTATGGACCTCACTATAAATGGATGTTAGGCCAAATTAAAAATAGAAATATGTGCACAATTTTGTCATATCTATGTTGCTTAGTGTTAAGATTCCATCACTGAATGTGGTAAAGAAATGCTCCCTTAAGGACAAAGGAACCAAAAGGGAAGCACTGGCCTCAGTTACTGCAATGGTAGCTTTTCACAGGCACTGAAGTTACCACGACAGCAGGTAGCCATTCAAGTAGCTCACAATTAAAACCAAAGTCAATTCCTTCTTTACAAAACCGTGAGCCAAACCAATTTGTCAGCAACTGGTATCGGGCAAAAGTACAGATTTCTATCTGCCCTATTGAATAGCTAATTCAAGTTTGTTTCCTGGAAAAAACACTAGCCTTAAAAGCCAAACACTTAAGAACACAGACAGACACTTGGCCAGCATGACACGATGGCTTCCTTCCACACTTCATGAAGCTAATTGGAGGCCCGAGTCTGTTAGTGCTCTGCATGCATAATGGTTTTTTAGGCCATAAACATATGCTTCTTTCACGTGTGTAGTCTTTCAGCATCAACGAGGAATGCTGGAGAAATCAAACATATCAATTTCATACTTACTGTAAGGGACACATTCATACTGGACTTCAAGATATTTGTATGTTCCAGGACATGGATCAGGAAATACATCTGACCCAGTAACTACTATACACTGTGTTCGATTGTTGCACCTGGAAAACAAAACAAATCAAACTTGTGTGACACAATAATTTAGTTGCTTATTTTTGCTAAAGAGACATAAAAGAGAACTGATTCATTTTTTTCCTCAAGAAACTAGTACAAATTCAACTGACATTAGGTTACTCATCATTATGAAAGAGTACAAAAGTCGTATTTGCTTTATGTTTTAGTATTTCTGTTTTGTGGGTCACACTAGATTTTAACTCAAAGTAAAAAGAAAAGAGCTAATACATCTCTATTATTCTACTACACCTTTTAATTAGAAGTTTTAACATATTCAAATAGTGAAAAAAAAAAGTACCAGGATACTCTCCATATTTAAGAATTAAAATCACAATAAAAATGTTACTATGACTGAACAGAAACATACAATCACAAATTGAATAGCCTGAAAGTAAGGGTTTTTTTGTGGGTTTTGTTGTTGTTGTTGTTTTGTTAATCCTCACAAGAGGCTATTTTTCCATTGATTTTTAAGGAGAGTGGAAGAGAGAGGGAAAGACAGGAAGAAACATCAATGTGAGAGAAACACATAAATTGGTTGCCTCTTGCACGAGCCCCTATCAGGGCCCAGGCCAGGGAGGATCCTGCAACCAAGGTTGCAGCCCTTGACCAGAATCGAACCTGGGACCCTTTGGTCTGCAAGCTGACGCTCTATCCACTGAGCCAAACCAGCTAGGGCTGAAAGTTTTGACAACATAATAAAACAAAGGAGGTACCAGCTTTTGAAGTTTATCCTCTAAATCAAGTTTGGTGTTAAGTTTCCTACTATAATAGTCTACTCTATACTCTTGAATCCTACATTTAAAATTTAGGCCTGGCCGGTGTGGCTCAGTGGTTGAGCACTGACCTATGAACTAGGACAGTGGTCAGCAAACTGCGGCTTGGCAAACCCCGGCTCGCAAGCCACATGCGGCTCTTTGGCCCCTTGAGTGTGGCTCTTCCACAAAATACGGGCTCTTCCACAAAATACCGACTTCTGCACATGGACCACGAATTTTCAATTGCACTATACGTGTGCGCCTGCACGTGGTATTCTGTGGAAGAGCCACACTCAAGGGGCCAAAGAGCCACATGTGGCTCGCGAGCCGCGGTTTGCCGACCACGGAACTAGGAGGTCGCAGTTCAATTCCCATCGTGACACATGCCCAGGTTGTGGGCTTGATCCCCAGTGTGGGGAGTACAGAGGCAGCTAATCAATGATTCTCTCTCATCATTGAGGTTTCTATCTCTCTCTCTCCCTCTCCCTTCCTCTCTGAAATCAATAAAAACATATTTTTAAAAAATAAATAAAGATTTAGCATAGTGCCTGGCATATATTGAGTGTCTAAACATTGTTTTTACTCTTTCAATTTTCTAGATTAATGTGCTGGTACTATTAATATGATATGACTATGAAACTTGGTTCTTCTAAATTAAGACTCCCTGAAACATAACATTAAAAAGAATGTCACTGACGTGATGCCTAGTATGTCCTATTTATTACAACTGGAAGTATTTTCTTATGTTTGTGTGGTCAGTAAATTATCAAGATTAATAGAATTAGGTTAGAATTCTAGGCAACATGGTATCTATTTAAGTTCTATGAATTTATCCAAATGATCTTTTTTATAAGCTTTTTAAAGGCAAGAATTATCCTTTATAAGTATTATTTGTGGGCTTTTATTATATTTTCCAAAACTACATAAATTAAGAAGCAAAGCAAGCAGAACAAGAGCATTATACCAAAACTTATTTAACAATTTGAATACCAGACATCCTATAGTACATACAATAACTGGACTAGAAAATGGTAAAAAAAAAAAAAAAAGAATGAAAAAGCAGCCCTGTGTTTTTATTTTTAAACTAGAGGCCTGATGCACGAAATTCGTGCAAGATTAGGCTTTCCTTCCCCCGGCTGCCGGCATCGGCTTCCCTCTGGCACCTGGGACTCGGGCTTCCTTCGCAGCCCCGGCTTCATCCAGAAGGATGTCAGTCTAATTAGCATATTATGCTTTTATTATTATAGATCCTTACCTGAGGACATGATTTCACTGACGGGGGCATTGAGAGGGTAGAGATAGATAGATAGAGAAAGAAATGTTGATGTGAGAGAGCAATATTAATCAGTTGCCTCCCCCACTATTGAACCCACAACCTGGATATGTTCCCTGACCGGGAATTGAACCTTTTGGTATATGGGATGATGCTCCAATCAGATGAGCCACACACGCCTGGGCACAGCCCAGTTTATAGCAAAGCAAGTAACTAAAGAACAGTGGAAGAAGAACTGTGTCAGAGAGGTAAGTATGTTAACAAGTCAGGCACCTTAGAAGCTATTTCAACTTAAACCAGGTTGACTCTTCCTTAGAGAACAGCAAGACCTGTAAACCTCTACAGAATCAAAAAGGTAAATTTTATAGGCCAAGATATATTATAAACAAGTCTTAAATATTAAATAAGTTATAACTAATATTGTTTGTGTGAATACTAAGCTAACAATATATTTTCTCAAATGTAATCTATAGTATTTGGTACCATATTTTTAAAAAACGTATCATCTATATATATAAAAGCCTAAGCGACTGGACGACCGGAACGACTGGTCGCTATGATGCACACTGACCACCAGGGGGAAGATGCTCAATGCAGGAGCTGCCCCCTGGTGGCCAGTGCACTCCCACAGCCAACCTCCTTATTTGGTACCATATTTTTAAAAAACGTATCATCTATATATATAAAAGCCTAAGCGACTGGACGACCAGAACGACTGGTCGCTATGACGCACACTGACCACCAGGGGGAAGATGCTCAATGCAGGAGCTGCCCCCTGGTGGTCAGTGCACTCTCACAGCCAACCTCCTGTGGTCCCTCCACCTGCCGCCCCTACCAGACGGCCAACCTCTTGTGGTTCCTCCCCCCAGGTGGCAGGCACTGATAGCCCAATCAGGGTTGGCCCCCGGGCTGGGATGGAGAACCAGGGATGGGTGGCAGTGGATGTGGCCCCTTTCCCAGGGGAGCCGAGGGCTTGCTCTGTCCCTCTCCCTGGCCGGCAGGCCCCGATCGGCCCACTGCCCACCTGCCGCAGTGGAAGGTGGAGGAAGGGAGGCTGGGAACCACGTGGTGTCTGGGAGCTGACGATGGTGGCATCGGCATCTGGCGACCATTGCCTCCTCTCTGGCCTAGCCCTGATCGGCCTGGCCCCGATCAGCCCTGATCGCCGGCCAGGCCTAGGGACCCCACCCATGCACGATTTCATGCACTGGGCCTCTAGTACAAAATAATTTCCAAGAACATGTATAATGTAAATGGTGCCCTGTCACATTCTTCTGTTTTACTTTCATTATTCTGTATTTCTTATAAATTGGTTCAATCTCTTGAGGAAATTTGCCAATTGTTCTCAATTTAGTGTAAGTGAATTATTTTAACATAAATCACAGAACCAATTTTATATCCTAAAAATTTAAATAATAGAAGATAAGATTTAAGATTTCTCAATAGGTCAATATCTAATGTTTCAACTAATGTTTCATTCTCTCCTTTGTTAAATTTAGAGCAAAAAGAGATTTCGCTCCTTTTTATAAGTGTCTTAATCTCCCAGGGACCCTCAACGACTAACCCATAAAACCTAAAGTTCTTTAAATTTCTTTCTTGTATATACTCATACCTACAAAGGTCCTCCCTTTATATAACCCTCACACCTTTCAGAATCAAAATAACCTTAACTCATCTGAGTTAGATCCCCTTTTACAAACTCCCTCAGTATACATTTTATAACCACTCAACAGTGTTAAGTCTGCCATGCTGCAAATGGTTTTAAAACGTATCTAAAAGATATTCATAGCAGTAATCCCCCCAAATAATTCCACTTGTTAGTAAACTTTCCATATATATCATCACTGTCCCCCTTCCCACAGAAGCTTCTTCTCACGTAATCAATCCAACAGCAGGTGGGAGAGAAAGGAAATTATACTCAAGGCTGAAATGCACGAAGAGCATGACGGACTTTGGACCAAGGTGAAGAAGGATGTAGCTCAAAGAGTTTGGGGATTTATATATTTTTTTCAAAAATAAAGCATACCTGATTGATTACCCAGTTTTTTCCCACTAGAAGGTCAGAAAGAATAAATATGACTTTAATATGGAATTCAAATTTTTCATTTTATATTTTTCAATGTCACAATATGTTGACAAGAAGTATACAAGGGACAAAGTATTCCTGCTTCCATTATTTCTTAAAAGACCAACACCATGTAAATGAAAAATAATTGCTCATACTTATTCTTTCTGATCTTTGTATTAGTCATCTCACCAAAATTACAGGTTCAAATAAGTGTTAAAAGCAATTACCATCATTACTAATCACACTGTTCAAAACATTCACTTTAAGACAGCAAATGGTATTAATTCTTGGGCTATCTTCCTAAGTACAATTGAAGGTAAGGAGACTTAATGGAGTTCCTGCAAGTAAAACTATGTATATTTCTAGAATTCATGGCATCTCAAGATGTCAAAAATGTTCATTTTTATATGTCATATATTTAAAAAATTAATCTTGAGGGGAAAAAAGTAAAGGGTTAATCAGCAAGAAGTGGAATGCAGAAGCATAAAAATATCAGATCTGTATAGCAGTATCTTGATTCATGGAAAAGAAAACCAAAGCTTTTAGAGGACCAAATGATGGAAATAAAAATACATTCAATTATGAATGAAGCAAGTAGCCTTAAGTTTCCACATACAGTAAGTGTGGGACACAGGGGAAAAGGAAATACCCAATGTGAGCTGTTAGCATGAAGAAAAACCTGAAAACCAATACACTGTTGGTAAGATTTGACACTTGTAAACTGCTATCATTTAAGAAGATAGGGAAAGAGAAAGCAATTAGATACAGAAGCAAAGTAAATTTCCTCCAACTGTTCTGCTCCAAGTTTTCCTTGAAACAAAAATGAAAAGGCACACCTAAGCCAAGAAAAGAACGGCATTCATTTGTTTGTTTTCTCAGCCCGAGGCATAG